GGAGGCGCATGGGGCTGCGGGACGGAACCAAGCCCAGACAGCCCTCGCGCTGGGAGAAGACGTCTGTCTTCTCCCGGCCCCACTTGCGCCACCCATCGGTCCCCTCCGGCTCCTCACCAAGGGTGATAAAAAGGTGGGGTGAGAGGTTCTGTTGGCAGCATTGAGGGGCTCTGTCCGAACCTAGGATCCAAAAGATTCTTGCCAGCAATTCCACCTTGTTTTACAGATGGGGAAACTGAGGCCCAAGCGGTCAAGGCTCTTCTCCAAGATCTCAGTGCTAGCGGCAGAAGCGCTCAGTTTAGCAGGTTTTATTCGTCTGGTTTTGTTTTGCTTCCACTAGGGTCGGGGGACACCACTCGGTAGGTGAAAGAAGCAGCAGCCCCAAACGTGGCAGAACTTGGTACATTACCAAGCATGTCCTGGACTGCCCACCAGGCTGGAGGATTTAGAAAAGAAGACTTCCTGGGGAAAGATGAAAGGCGTTGGGGGTGGCAGCCAGTAGCAGTAGCAGGCAAGTACAAATGATCACAGACTGGTCTGGAATACGTTGCTATGTAAAAAGTGTCGCAGCTTCCCTGAGAACCAGCTCAGAGGAAATGAAAGGGGAACAGAAAGGATTAGGGTTAGATTTAAGGCAGCACTTTCTCCCAGGGGTGATAATGGGGCCCTTTCTTCAATGACCAAGGAAGGCTGTGGACTCACCCTGTCCCTCCCACTTCTGAGGCCTTTGGGAATCCATCTCCCTCCAGTCCCACACGGGCCTGCTTGGAGGACAGGAGTGAATGATTGACTTTGAAAAGTCCCCATCACTCAGGTAGGAGATCCTTCGCCTGGATGGGCCTCCTGGGCTCTTTGCTGAGGGTGAGGACAGCAGACGCGCTGGCTCCAGGACCCTGGGTGGGGAGAAGCAGCAGTCATGGCATCTCTTGCAACACACTCCCTGCCAAATGGATTCAAATTGGCTTGGATATGAACATATGATTAAAGGAGAGGCGCGATTCATTTATCAGGAGAGATTAAAGAGCAGCATCTGCGCAGCCTAGCTGGGGGACAATTAAGGAGCAAATTGCTAAGTGTCTGTGCCACCAGGCATGGGGGTGGGGCATGGGGGAAGGGCAACTGGGATCATCTGCCAAGAGGACACAGGACAAAAGGAGGTAGTTCGGGAGTCACCATGTGCTGCTGTCATCTCTGGGCACAGACTGGGCACCATGCAGAGCCTCACAGGGTCCCCCCCTCCCAATGCCTCTTATCCAGGATTCAGAGCAATCCTGAGGGTCTGAGATTAGAGAGGAAAATCTAGCGAGGCGGCTTTGAGCCTGGAAGGGACAGATTTGCTGCCTGTTTTGTGGGAATCACTTACATTTTAGGGACCAGAGCGACCATGAGTGCACAGGTGAGGGCAGGAGCTTATAGAGCTCTGAAGGCATACCCCAAACGAAGATGGGCTCTGATGGCCTTGCAGGTCCCTGGACTTCCCTGAGGAGTTTGTGCAGAGGGAATTGCCTTCCTCCCAGCCTGGAGCCCAGAATGCTGGCCGAAGGCCTTTTGCTGAAGTTTGGAGAAGTGTTGGTCATGTGAGGTGATGTCCAGCTTCCCCAGACAGCCTGTGGAGTTCCCTGCCACCACCTCTATTTCCCAGCCTCAGGGCCTTTGCACAAGTTCTCCTTTCTTCCCAGCACACCTATCCCAGCAGTATCTACCTGTGGAAGTGCTATCCTTTCTTCAAGCCCCAGCTCAAAATACCAGCCCCTTTTAGAAGCCTTCCCAGTCCCTCCCCACCCTCTCTCAGTGAGAGTGTCTCCCCTCATAACTTGCCCAAAGCAACTTCTTTGTCCTTTTATGTCTCATGTAATTATTTCCAAAGGGATCTGCCCTAACCCTAACACATGAGCCCCTGGAGGACAAACACTATGATGTACTCCTTTCTACTCACCCAAAGCTTGCACACATTAGGAGGTCAGACACACATATTTTTTGTGTTTAACTCCTCCACTAGAATATCCGCTTCTTGAAGGAAGGGACCTCACCCATCCCCAGCACTTAGAACAGTGCCTAGACCATAGCGGCCGTTATGAAATATTTGACTGTTGAGTGAATGAGCAGATGAATAACACATATTTTCCGACTTGAACAAAGCCCTCCGCCCCAGGGAAGGCTATTAGAGGTTGATGCTGGGACTTTCTATCAATAATTAACCAAAGGCCTGAGCCAGTGTGGGTGAGCAGAGTTGGGATCTTGTCTGTAGGTAGCAGGGACTTTTGTCACACTAGTTCCTGGGAGGAAAAAAGTACACCGAGCTATCTGAAAGCAGGAGTGAAAGATGTGAGTGACAGAACTGAACATGAGGAGCCAGCAGTTTAGAAAAAAAGTGACTTCACTTTGACTGCCTTCTCTATTCCACCTTGGGGGCAGCTTCTTTTGTTCAAGGTGCAGCCACTTCACACTTCTCTCCCATTCATTTTGGGGATGACATTTCCCCCTCTTTCCCTTTCTTGCCCCTCTCTGGGTGGGTGACATCACCAAAGCGTCAGCATCAGGCCTGTCTGATCCCCTTTCTTGCCTACCTGTCCAAACCAGAGGAGCCTGATCGGCCAGCTGTAAATACTTCATGCACACAGGGATTATAACTGGTCACATTACAGAAGGTAGAGGAGGAGGAGGAGGGAGTCATTTGTTTCTTGCCCACTGCCTCTCAGCTGTCAGTGAGGGAACCACGTGTGGGCTGGGGCATGAAGGCGGAGACTGAGCAGTGTGGAGAAGCCAGCACGCCCAGCCTATTCAAGTTGCCCCGTGGCCAATGGGGTTGGAGGACAGAGAGAGTTCTGCCAAGTGTTGATCAGAAAGTCATCTTTGGGATGACTAAACTTAAAAAAAGAGAGAGAGAGAGAAGATAGGATCTCTGTAATTGGCAAGATTTAACAATCAGAGGGACCTCAACATTCCCAAGTGGAGGCCAGGGTAGGCCAAGGCCTGGACGGCTCTGCCAACCTGAATTACAATCCACGGGCTCTTAAAATAAAAGGTGGGGTTTGTGTCTTCCTTGACCAGCCCTCTCATCCACTGCCTCCGCCTGCTCCAGAGGACCTGCCAAGCTCTCTGAGCAGCATTGGTCTGATGTGGGAGCAGGTCAGGGATGAGGGTGATTCCCCCAGGTCCCCACCAGGGTCCTCACTCTGCTCCCCTGTGACCACCCCTGGACTTTACCTGAGCCTGAAGGAACAGGCAGGAAAACTGGCAGAGCCAGGAGAAGAAGGACATTTATTTCCATACATCAGGTAAGCAGGGGAAGAGAGCACAGCCCAATGAGTACAAACCAATTGCAGGAGAGAAGGGGAGACAGCAGATGGGAGCGGCACCAGGCACTGCCCTTGGGCCCCCGTCTGGTGGTGTTGGTGGGATGATCTTTAGGGTGGGAGCTGGGACTGTCAGTCTGCATGTTGTCATGTCTGGGATAAGTGTGTGTGGGCAGGGCGACTGGAAGAAGAAAAATGACTCAGGCTTAGGACACAGGGTGAGGACTTGCATCTAATACACACCAGTACCGACCAAAGCTTCCATCTTCAGTTTTTCTGACCACAAGCCCTCAACCCAAGGGCTTCCCTCTCAAGCTGAGCTTGTGATCCAGGCAACTTGGACAGAGCGGGGAGGGAGGCAGTGCTTGGATAAGCCCTGAATTGGCATTAGGTGGAATGGGTTTACTCTTCAATGGGTCATTGCACTTAACACACTGATGAGACAAAGAAGGGTAGGGGCTAGAAGTTCTGGCTGGTACAGATGCACCCCCGTCTGTGTAGGCCTGTTCAGCTCGAACCCAGAAGCACCTGAGAGCCCCTCCCCACACGGACTCTTAAGAACCTGGGCCCAGCTCTGCTCACGGGTCTCTCCAGCTGCACAGAGAAAGGACTGCTCTCTTAAGAGTAAAGATGAAGCTGAGGTTCCCCTAGTCATTCCCGGTGCGGGGAGGCGGGCCAGCTGCCACCACAGCCCCCTCCCCCTCTCAGGGATGCAGCTGTGATGGAGAGGTTGGGTATTTAAATTAAAAAGTAGTAAGACAGCAGGCACTGAGAAGAGAAAGCCCTCCCCCAAGTCATGGGGAAGGAATTGCTGTTCCCACCCCAAACTCCTCCCCATGGACCCAGCAACCCGAGAATGTCCCAGTAGGCAATCTGTCCACCGTCCCTGAGCGGGGGGAGGGGGCTGAGATGGAGGTCAACTTGCCGGCTCTATGCAGTGCCAAGCCACTTGCCATCCACGGTGGCCCAAGGCAGGAGCAGAAAGTTCTCTTTTCAGAACTGCTCTTCCCTCCACCTCTTCCACGTGGAAACGTCAGATACCCACAGCCTGGGAAGCCCCCTGACCGAAGAGGGTCGGGTGTTTCCCATGCAGATCAGCAGTCAGGTGGGGGAGACCCGTGCCCCGCCATTTCCCGGGAGAGGTGCCGTGGCAGCAGTAGCCCGTGGGTGGGAGGGGTGCACACCACTCCCCTGGGCTATGCGTTGGTCTCTGTCTGCTTGGCCTCTGTGTCGCTGTCACTCAGATAGTTGTGGGAGTATCGGGGCCTGGAAGTGCTGTCGAGAGGGTCGTGCTCATCATCTGACCGGTCAGGGGCAAGGGACTTCCAGTAGCTGGTGGGGCTGCAGGGAGAGAGGAATGAGGTCACAGAGGAAGGATGCTTTTTACCTTCCGCACCAAAGCCTTTGGTCCTGGGGAGGCCCCCCCAAACCCTGTCACAAATTGAGAAGTAGAAGACTTCCCTAGCTTCCCCAGAAGATACTCAGAGTAGTAAGAGAAAGGAGCACATTGTTTTGACTCTGAAACCTTTTACAACTCCGAGGAAAGCAATGCTGAAGAGCAGTGGGTCTCGAACTTGAATGTGCATTAAGAATTGGCTGCAAGATCCCCGGGTTCTTCCCCTGAGAAGTTTTGATTTGCTAGCTCTTGGGTGGAACCCAGGAATTCTGCATTTTCAACTCCCTCCCCAGAAGATTCTGATACAGGCAGTCCATGGACTGCATTGACTTGGAGACTGCAGGTCTGGTGATTACACGACTACAACCTGTCTTAGTAAAGTTCCTCCCAAAAAGATTCCTTCTAAGAAGGACGGGCTTTCCCCATTGAATACTCCCAGATCATAACCCTTCTTCCTGATCAGGTTTTCCTAAGGCCGGTGAGAGTTTCTGCCCTTGACCATGATATCATCTACTCACAAGGAATAGAGACTCAGGATGTAGGAGCTGGTTAAGACCTCTGTTTCAGGGTGGCATAGTCATCCCTTTCTTGGTACCATAATCCAACCCCAAGGCTTTCATCAGGCCAGTGGGAGCCTCTCGCTCTCCCCTGACCAAGATATGAAGAAGCATTACTCCCTGGATGGAGCAGACTCATGGCGTTGAGCATGGATGGGATCTCATTTCCACCTCTAGTCACCTTCTCTTTTCTTTCTTTTCCAAAGTCTTAGAGCAGCCTTCCCCTGCCCCTCCCACCTCCACTGCCTCTGCCAGTCCAAGTGCACTGTAATTTCAGCAATGTTGGAGAAAATGCAGCCCGGGGTGGCTCCACGCCTACCAGTGCCCTGCACTCAATGGGCCCCTCCCTGCCCAGTGATCTCAGGAACACAGCCCTGCTTCCAGATCCTAGAAAGCTTCTGCTAGAATAAACAGGAATCCTGTGATCCCACTGTCTACAATTCTGATTTAAGAATCTGAGGAAGGCCCTTGTTTACTAGCGCTTTCAAAGTTCTTCTATCTCCAAACCAAAAGAGGAGGACACGGCGTTCTGCAAGAAAGAACCACATGCTCAGCTTTTCCAACTGTGTTGAAGAAAGGATCAACACAGTTGATCATCACTGAGTATTTCCTGTAATGTGAGACACTGTCTTAGGCACTCTGGATGTGCTATCTTATTCTTCACCACATGAAATGGCATGAGGAAGCTGGTTCAAAGAGACGAAGCACCTTGCCCAAGGTCACACAGCCTGTGTGTAAATCTGAACCTGGGACCTTAGACCTCAAAGCCTTTTGATGACTCCACCTTGCTGCCAGACCGCTGACCTGAGGAGAAAACCAGATGAAACCTGCATTCTCCCCACTGGCCTGGGCAAGAGCCCAGGGGGTGTGTAAAGACAGGTCTCTCTTTCTCTCTCCCTGGGGAGATGGAACAGTCTGATAGAAGAGCTTGTTCAATTATGCAAAACGGTTTAGGAATGGGGCAGTGTGGTTAATAGTTATCGTATTTCTCATGAACGAATTACCATTTTTAAAGGAATCAGAATAGCACAGAACACATTTAATATAAACTAGTCTGAACATAAATGAGTTTTACTTTGATGGGCCAAAGGCACTTAAGGACTCTGGGACGTCTCAGGGACAGAATTATAAAGCTCAATGATGACTGTGCAACATAGAAAAAACTGGGGTTATTTTAGCTTTTGGATTGTTTTTAAATTGTGAATTAGCGGGAGCCTGATTTTATTTTCATTTTTTTAGACAGAACTTCTGGGCACCCAATGCTAAGGTCTGCTGTTGGGCAAAGGAAGGAATGGCTCTGTGGAAAGACAGTGGGGTTATTTTGTGGGGAGAGGGGGGGTGAGGTAGGTGCCAGCGCTGGGACCCGGATGCAAATGGGGTGCTCCTTTCCATCCTCCCACCTCTCCTCAGAGCGGAGCTGCAGACCCCACTTCCATATTCCTGTGCCGGCCAGGCAGACACCTGGATGAACGACAGCTGGGTTTCAACACTGTTCCGTCCAGATGCTGGGTGCAGTGGCAGAGGCAGCCGGGAACGCTAAACGCCAGGCCTTTCTCCCCTGCTCTGTGCAGCCACGAGACACCCCTGCTCCCACCCTGGGTGCTCTTTAGCCAGCTTCCTTTGCGGCTTCTACAGGCACAGCTGTCAGAGAGTCAACAGCAGGCAGCTGGCCCCCTTCCCGGGGGCAAGAGTCAGGGCTGCAATGTGAACATTTTAACCACATTGTTTCAAAAGCTTTCCTCCTCACAAGCCAGCGTCTCCTGCTCAACACGGTCACAAACGATTTGGTGCATAAGCTAATTCCCACTGGGCGAGCAGCCCCCTCCCCTTGCCTTTGCTACGGATGCTTTCAGTGTTCTGCATGCTTGCAGAGCCCCATCACCGGGTGGGGAGTTAAACTGCCCCCACTCTTGGCAGTTTATTCACCCAAAGCCAGTTCACGCGGAGTCCAACTAGGTCCTCCCTCCCCTGGACCTTCTCTGCCAGCTCTGTACTGGGTGGCTAGCTTCTGGCTTGGTGCCCACTCTGGCCGCAGTGAATCCAATCCTTGCTGGAGGTGGCAGTGTGTAGGGTTTCAGGACTACTCCTGTTTTCCTGGTGGACAAGAACTGTGCTGGTGGCTGAGGGAAGAAACAGGCTTTCTGTGTTCTTGTTCTTGCTGGGTCAAGGGTGATGATGGGCTGAGTCACTGGGGTCTGAAATCCACCAGTTGCTGGTCGGTGTGGGATGGACTGCCTAGGCCCACGTCTCCCTCTTCAGGTACTGGTACTGTGCTCAGAAGGGCCTGGCCCTCTCTGCTTTCCAAACCTCCTCCCATGGCCCATCAGCTGACTTCCCGTGCTCGGGGAGCAGGGCACTCAGCAGGGCTGCGGAAGGAAGGGCTGAGATGGTAGACACAATATTATGACCCCTGCCTTTTCTCACTGTGTACTGACAACAGCTCCCTAGTGCAATTGAGATGCTTCCTACTCTTCCCAGAGCATCCTGCAACCATCTGCCACGTGGGGGGAGCGACAGAGCAGGGGTAAGCCCAAGGGCTTGGTTTCTGAGCCGCTCAGGGCCCACAGAATCTGAGTTGGCCATGAGCCTGGTCTGGGTTCAAGTTCCACCTCCCCCATACCATCCCCCCAATCCCATCCCATCACCATCTCCAAATAGCTGCAGGTAACATTCACTTCCATGGGCTCCATTCCTTAAAACAGAACTGGTCCCTTTTGGTAGAACCCTGCCCAAGCTGACAGTGTGCTTGGGCAGCTGCTCCACTGCACAAGAGGCCCACTAGCACGCGACAGGTGTGTGTGTTAGTGCATGCATCTAGGAAACACTGCCCGTGCCCCAGGGGCCTGCGCTCTGGGGTCATACCTCCTGGGAAGCAGCAAGCTTGCCCTGGGAGGGTACCATGCCAAAAACAACTTCACATAACCAGGGTGATCCAAATGTCACCGCCCACCAGGGAAACTGGCAACAATAGTATTCCTGTGAGTCAGGCTTCGCCTTTCTTCCAAGTGGGGGTGTGGGCATAAAGGGCCTAACAGCTAGATCTCCCTCCCACAGGGAGAAGGCTGGGGGAGGCAGGAGAGCCAGGAGGGGGCTGTCACTCAGCAGCTGCTAATTTCTATTCATTAAAACTTTACAAGATGAGCTAAGATGAGGTGACGCTCATGTGTGGGCTTCGGGTAGGAGGGGTGGGGAGCGAGTCAGGCATCTCCAGGTCTGCTGCAGGGTGCGGTGATGTGGGCGCTGCAGCCCTGTAAGCCTTGCACTCTTAGGCTTGAGACGCATGCCAGAGAGGAGGGTGACATTGCAGGTGGGGGAGAGCTGAGCAAAAGGCCCCTTAACAGCTGATGGCCAGTGATGTACCAACCCACGCCCGGGGGTCAGCTAGAGCCCTTTCCTGGGCCCAGCGTGTCAGGGTCATGGACGGAAGTTCCATACGGGTGCTGCCAGGCACACAGAGGAAACATTTTGCCCATGTGCTCTGCCTTGGGTCGTATGGAGGAGTAGTTGAGGGCAAGCTGAATAGACTCCATTCAGATTGTGGCAACATCACTTACCAGCTATGTAACCTTGGCAAATAACTTAACCTCCCTGAACCTCAGCTTCTTGTTCTATAAAATGGGGCTAATCAGACATTTGTTGTGGGGTTAGTGTGAGGATTAAGTGAATAAAATATGGCACGTATCTGGCGGGGGGTGGGGTGGGGGGTGGTCCCTGGCCCAGGGTTAGGACTTGATAAGTCGGAGAGGTGACGGACATCACCAGCGAGTTCAGCTGATTGGGCTCAGGGCTCAGAATGACTAATCAGCTCAGCTGGCCCCCGCTCTCTGAGGTAGCCAGGAGGCTCTCCGAGGCCAGGCCTGCCCGCGAGGAATGCAGGAAGGGGCCTGGGTGGTGGCGGGTGGGACGTTAGTTCACACCAAGCGGCACACACCATGCTCTGCACTCCACGCCAGGTGCCACCTACTGCACTAGTCGCTCTCGGGACGGTACAGGTACCGCATCATCAGGCTGTCCACCTCTTTCTTGCGCTTCTTCTCCTCCTTCCGAGACTGTCGGCGCGCCTGCCCAGCCTCCTTGTCCTCCGCAGCCGGGCCCTTCTTCACGCTCGAGCGGCTGTGGCCTGAGACAGTGGAGCCACTGGATGTCGATGAGGAGGACTCAGACTCCGTCTCTGTTCTCTTCCTTCTCGATTTGGACTTCTTCTTGCTTTTTCGAGAGCTCCCCTTCTTCCGCCGCCTGTGCTCCGAGGAATCTTCGGAGCTGGAGCTGGAGCTGCTCGTTCTCTTGCTCCGGCTCTTCCGGCTGCTGCGGGACCGAGAGACGTCCGCAGCAGAGGCTGAGCGGCGGATGCTGGTGGCTCGTGCCGGGGCGTCCAGTTGGGCGCTCCGGGTACTTTGGATGCTCTTCCGGTCATCCTCCTCAGAGTCAGGCTCCAGGCTGCTCCGGTGGAACGGGACGGGCTTGTAGCTCAAGACCTCATGGATGGCAGCCTCCAGGTCTGGGTCTAGGTAGGCGTGACGGCTGATGGGGCGGACACTGGAGTTGAGAGACTCATCCGTGGCGGAGGCGGAGATGCGGGGCTGGGGTGGCACCGACAGACTGCGGGCCAGGGATGGGTAGCTATACTGTGAGCGGGCCTCACTCAAGGCCACACTGGCTCCATCGTCCCAATCGTCCAGGCAGCTCCGGCCCAGGGACAGGTGGGAATCGGGGCTCTCCCGGCTGAGGGCTGAGGCCCGGCCCAAGGAAGGGCTGAGGGTCCTTGACAGGCTGTCGAGCCTCGAGGTGCTGCGGCGGGAACCGGGGGAGCCCGACAGCGAGAAGCTCATGGAGGAGCAGGCCCCATCCTCGCCGGAGCCACGCTGTGTGGCCGAGGAGGCCCGGCTGACGGCCGCAGAGATGGCCGAGGCCCGGTCAAAGTCTGAGCCCCACGGCTTCTCCAGCCCCCGGCTAGAGCAGCCCCTGACCCCAGAGAAGACGGAGCCACATTCCTCAGGCTCCTCGGACTTCCTGCCCAGGCCCAGCTCCTCCCTGGGGCCCCCGCGGGCCTTCCGGGGGGGCCTCTCGGGGGAGGCGGGCCGCTCGCTCAGGGTGGTGAAGAGCGAATCCTCATCCCCAGTGCCCCCGATGGAGTCCTTCAGGGTGAGCCGCTTCCGATAGCTCAGGGAGCTCAGCACAGAGGCCGGCCTCTCCTCCACCCCCTTGCCCTCCTTCCCCAGGGTGTTGAGGGCCGCTCTGCTGTGCGGGGGTGAGGCCAGGGAGGAGAGAACCGGGAGTGGATTAGCAGCAGCAGAGAGAGAATGAGAGAGAGAAACAAGCATTAAACATAGAGAATAAAGACACCGGGGGAGGGAGAAGGGAGGAGAACTTGGCAGCAGCCCTGGCAAAGTGGCCGTGAGAGCGTCGGAGGAAATGAAGCAAAATAATTTGCGTCAGTGAAAATAGCTTCATGGAGAATGTCATGTAAATTAGACTATTGTTCTGTTTCATCACTTTTTCCCCTCGCAAACGTTTAGTTCAATTTATTTCATTGTCAACTACCTGGAGCCTGGTGCCGGGCCCTGGTGAGTGGCGGTGGGGCGGGGGAGGTGGCATTATCTGCAATAACAAAATGTTGTTTGGCCGAGTAAATTAAACCAATTAGAGGGGGCCGCTGGGTGCTTGCGGTGAGGGGCTGGACTTGGGAAGGGGCCTCAGGGGAGCTGGAGAAGGAGAGGGATTACTTTTTCTACCCAGCTCACCCAGTGCTCTCTGGGAGGAGGTGGAAAGGCGAGTCCTGGGGGATCAGGATGGCTCTGAGTTGGGAGGGCGGAGTCAGCAGGGAAGTGGCCACGGGAGGGGTGGGAGCAGAGGACCCCGGCTGGCCCGTAGGTGAGGGATGGGAATTGGAGACCTGGATTTCAGGGGTAGCTAGCTGCCTGTGTGATCAGAAGACTGTGACTGGGCTGGAAAATAGGGGAGCAAGTTCCCCCAGTGGATGGGTGTTGGCAGAAAGCATGGTGGAGGGCGAGTGAAGAGACCAGAAGAAGAAGAGAATGGGCAGAGAAAGACAGAAATGTGTCTGTAGCTGTGACAGGGAAGTCAGGGGAATTGGGGCCTTTTCTGCTGCTATTCCTACTAAGACCTCAGAGGTCCACAGCCAGCCCGGACTGGCCTTGTCCAGGGTGTGGGATCCAGAGTCCCCCCTGAGCCCCATTTCAGTCTTGATTCCAAGGGCCCAAACCATCAGGTAGTTCGTTCAACATCTGTTGAATGAGTAAGTGGGGATGAAGTTAAACCTACACCAAACCAAAGCCCTGAAGCCCGGTAGGAAAACATTACCTCGGAAAATTAAGGGTGCCGCAGACCCTGACTAAGAAGAAACCAGGCCTCCTGTGCTCATCCCATGTGCCAGGGGCAGGCCTGGGCCCCTCACGCACATACCAGGCAAGAGAGAGACGCAGGTGGCGTGAGGCCCACCCTCTTTGGGATCAAGGCGCTGCTCATCCATCCCTGGGGCACGAGGTGGCCTTTCCTCCCACCTAAGGCCACACGCTCACCTAGAACTCTTCAAGCTGCCATCATCGGAAGCCGCCTTGGAAGGCCCCTTGTTTTTGGACAACCATGACTTGACCCCGTCGACCCGGTCCTCCAGCTCTGAGTCCACATCTGAGTCCCCCTCGCTGTGGGATGAGGAGCAGAAAGGTAGGCAAGGCTGGGAAGAGGTGATCACCTGGTGGCCCAGGAGGCAGCACCAAAGTGGCAAAGCAAGTTTGTCTTGGGTGGGGGTGGGATGCAGGGCGGCATGCGCATCAGTGAGTCAGAGAGAACAAGAGAAGTTAGACAGAGGAGCGCACCATCCACACGGGCCCTGCCCTGCTCAGCAGGCCACATTGTGTGACAGCCACCGAGGAGACCCTGGGGAGCACGGAGGCACCCCCACCCCACTTTCTGTGACAGGCTGCTGTGCAGCCAATCAATCCAGTGAGAACGACAGGGAGACCGTCCGTTCATCGATTACAGCTAAATGGCTTTTGGTTAAAAAGAGGAGTCCTGGGCCCTTCAGCTCCTCCCTGAGGCCTATTCTGCTGTTCTTGTCTGCCTGTTCCCAAAAATGTGGCTACAGCTGCTGCCACTTTCCATGCCTTTGCTGCAAGAGCTGGGCTGCTGGTGATGGAACGGAGAATAGAAGGGCTTCGTTATGACTTCAAGTGAGCTTGAACCCGGAGTCTCCTGAGCTGATGCATTGCCAACTCGGGCACTACAGGCCATATCGCAGACCCATCCTGCGACTCCCCTTGGCCCTTAAGAAACAGAAAGGACGAGGCGGGGACCGCAGCATTTCCCGAGGGGTTCGTAAGAGATTCAAGCTGCACCTGGAGATCCAGTGGGGCCCAGAAATCCCAGACAAGGGCTCTGTCTCTCCCAGTCTCCTCTTCCACCCTCAGGAAGCCTCCAGCTCTTGCTCCCCCAGGGCTTTTTTCTGGCCAAGCTGGCCTGAGCCCTCTCGACTTGCAAGAAAGCCCAAAGGAGTCAAATTCTGATGCTGGAATCACGGTGACCTCCTCGCACAGCAGCAGGGGCTTGGAGATATAGCTTCTGAGTGAGACTGCTTCTAGAATTCTGCAAGATGTCTGCTCACCACGTTCCCTGCTATGGATATGCTAGGATTGCTCCTTGATATAAATTTCCTTTCATCTGTGTCAACAGGAGCAGCCCCATTCCTGATTTATGTTCTTGAATAAACAGCCACACAGGTGTGCACGCGTGCGCGCACATGCGTGCGGGTGTGTATGCACATACACACACACACACACAGAAGAAGCCACCAGGCTCTGTTCTGGGGGTGAGACAGCATGACTCGTGGGGAGGGGAATAAAGAAGCACATTTTATGGGCTTCCGTCAAATACAGAATTATAACAAAGACCAGGCTGGCTGATGCCCCGGTTAAACAGGAGTTTAGCAGACAGCCCCGAAACGGCTAATGCAAGCCCTGTGCCTGTTCGAGCCTGGCAGATTTACTATGGTGCACAGGCCCTATGGAACGCCAATACCACCTGACTTATACACCCGTGCAAAAAACCTCCTTCTCTAGCTTCAAAGCCTGTAATTTATCACCGCCGTTCATAACCATACTGATTGTCATTAGAAAGGAGGTGCTGTATGCATTGCAAAATCTATGTCTACATGTTAAAAGCGTTTCTGTATAAATCTCCCTTAATACTGTGCTGTTCACTGCTTTCATTAGGGTTATGGCAACAACAACCGTATCTCTAAGTAAATCGAAACGTTATTTTTCTGGCTGCCTTAGCACACTCGCTCAATAACTTGGAGCAGGGGCCCAGAGCTGCTGAGGAAAAGACCCCCTCTGCCGTCAGCAGGAACCCGGCTAGGACTGCAGGCCCTGTGTGCCTGCATGAGTGCACGCTGGTGTGTGTGTGCGCGTGTGCAGTGGTTTAGAATATGATCTGAAATGCGCATTTTGTCAGTCCTCGAAGCTCCTCCAGCCCAAGGATGGCAGGGCTGGAACACACAGGGGACAGACAGTCATGGGCCCAGAATATGAATCTGCCTCCTGACATTCAGAGCAGCGAATGGGTTGAGAAGCTGGCCTGCCCGCCCTTGCCTTTCCTTTAGTTTCAATCCTATAGAGGATGTTTGGATTCTTTTCCTTAAATAATCAGGCCCGTAAACAAACTCCAGGGTCAGGCAGGCTCGGGGGGCAGTTGAAATTTTAAATGGTCGGAATTAAACCTCGCGTCAAATACAATTTATGTCCAGGCTCATGTGCTATTAGTTAACTGGGAGCTGAATCCCGGGGGAACAAACAAACGGAGACAGAACGGCAGGGGATATTAACTGCGTGTGACAACCAGGCTCCGGCGGCCCTCTGTCACTGTTACACACTATTACATTTATCATTAGCTCTCACGGAGTCCTTTGCGCTGCCGCCAGCCCATCCTGGCCAGGGGAGGAGGCCTGCCAGGCAAGAGAGAGTAGGGGAGGAAACCCAAAGCGGCGCTAGAACAACCACCTCCAAAGACCAGCCCTGTCGGACCTGAAGGAGGATCACCCCGATCTGCCTGAGGGCCCGCACATCTGCCCCAGCTGCCCAGCTCCCACCCAGAAAGAAGGAAACGGACAGGGGGTGGATTTACTGGGCTTCCCGCCACCTGACTGACAGCAGCACAAATGCCTTGGGGCCTCCTTCTGCCCAAGGTGCCTGCGGAGAGTAAAGTAAACACATCTGGCTGTGTTCCCTTCCCCTGCCTGGATGCTTTCTCCCAACAAGTAACTGTTAGACGCCCCTCACCTTCTACCCTTGTCTGCCAAAAGAAGGTGGCGGACCTTTCAAAATGAAACATACCCACTTCTTTCAGGCAGCTCAGGCTCCAAAGGAGCCCAAGGAAGGGGAGAAATCCAGCCCAAACAGACTTTTCCCCAGAGAAAGAGGCCGGGAAGCGGCTACAGTTGGTTTCTGATGGGGCAGAGGCGGGGGCTTACGAAGGCAGGCTGTGGGTACCACCCAATGAGGCTGAGCTCTCCTTTTTTTTTTTTTCTTTTTTTTGCTGTATGCGGGACTGTCACTGTTGTGGCCTCTCCCGCTGCGGAGCACAGGCTCCGGACGCGCAGGCTCAGAGGCCATGGCTCACGGGCCCAGACGCTCCACAGCATGTGGGATCTTCCCGGACCGGGGCACGAACCCGTGTCCCCTGCATCGGCAGGCAGACTCCCAACCACTGCGCCACCAGGGAAGCCCATGAGCTCTCCTTTCTGACAGAGCCCCCATCCTGCCGACCAAGGATGTGGGGGCCAGTGAGCCTTCCAGGTGGAGTGCACCCTTGTTGCCTGCGCTCTACAGGGCGCGGCCTGCCCCCTCGCCTGATACAGGGCGTGGCCTGCCCCCTTGCCTCCCTTGGGACAGAGTGAGCCGTGTTAGCATGAGGGACTAGCTCAGAGGAGGAGAGGAGGCTGTGTGTCCACATGCGACATGCAGCAGGGCGGGAGCCCAGGGTTAGGGGGAGGTTAGACACCACGCGAGGAGAGGCAGAGAGCGCGTGCGCTCCAGTCCTCACGGTTTATTCTTTCTTTTCTGATACTTTGTCACCATGTCCTGCAAACTGGAAACAGAAAGAAAATGGTGGGCAAGGGGGCCGGAAGAGCACAGAAAAGTCAACCAAGGTGGACCCCTCAGCCGAGGACCCCTCCTTCCTCAGCAAGACAAGGCTCTGGCTGGCTGAGACCAGGAGGTGGGACAGTGCTGTCCTCAGAGGGAGGTCCAGGCCACCTGGGGCACCACTCCCCTGCCCTAAAGGAGCAGGCTCCCCGGGCATCCCAGGAGCAGGATGGGGCCTCGGCCTTCAGGTGGGATGGGGGCAAGTCTGGGGGGGTCTGCTCAGGGCAGCCTTGGGAGCTTCTCCAGGGTCTGACCCCACCCCCACTGCCAGTCTGCCTGCCTCGGGACTTCCTCCTCGGCCTAAGACTACAAATCTCTCTGCTAAACCATTCCCTGGGTGGGTCTTATGTGAGAAAAGCTCTGGCACGGTAACTAGGCACCAGGGCCCTTAAATCTCTGCTCTCCCCAGAGTGGGGCAGGTGCCATCAGAAATGCAGCTAAACGGGGGAATAACTCATCTTGAACGGGCAGAGCTGGAGAGCCAGGTCCCTGGGAGGCCTGGGGAGAAGGACAGGAAGAAGGGGCGGGAGGGGGGGTCTCACCCGGGCAGCAGCTGTCCAGCCCTCAGCTGCTGCAGGACAGGGTCCATGCTGGGGTCTGGCAATGAGGGGAGGGTGGGCTGGAGGCTCAGTGGTGGGGAGACCCAGACTGCAGCTGTTCTACCTGGTCTGGAGGCAGTCAAGAGGGCCTCCGAGCCGGCCACGGTTGCCATAGAGGCCCCTCACCTGTTGATGAGGTCCTCGTTCTCATCACTCTCCATCTCGTCCTCAATGGCGGCCTGCAGGTCCCCGATGCGCTTGAACGCCAGTTTCAGATCAGCCTGCAGGCTCTGGTTAGCAGCTTCCAGACTCTCCAGATCCATCTCCTAGGAGGGAGAGGGGGCAGTCCAGTCCACAGGAGGGCTAGTCTCTCACCCAGCTGCCCCAGAAACGGCCGGCTTCCAGTCTCCCTGGGCCAGGCAGCAGCGACGTGGGTGCCGCTAAGAACCTGCAGAGCTTTCTCTGCTCTGCGGTTGCTGGGCTGTTGAGGCCTGGCCTTGCCTGACGGAGACTCCGGTACCACCCTTGGCCCCTGGCCTGCCCTGAGGCTTTGTGGATTGTGTTCCTGACATGTTCTCTTCCCTCTAATTCTGGTTTAGAATTAAACCATGCTTTCTTTGCAGCCCACCTCCACAAGCCCACGGGTGAGGTGTGTGCTCAGCAGCTTCTCAGAGGGCCGCCAGCCTCAGGCCTCGTGGGCAGGGGGCATTACCAGTTCATGCTTCTTGCGGCTCGCCTCAGCCTCCTTTCTGGCAAGCTCGCCCATCTCCTCCTTGGTGTCCCGGAGCTGCCGCTGTAGCCGCTTGTTCTGCTCCTTCTCCCGGTTCTCAGCCGCCGTGCGCTGATCCCGTTCCTCAGTCAGCTTCTCCATGTTCTCCTTGAGCCGGCCGGCCAGGTTCTGGACAGGGAGGTGGGAAGAGGGACCCATCAGCCAGGCAGAGAGCGGGGTGTGGCAGAGCTCCAGAGTCAGGAGGCCCGGGTCCAGCTCCAGCTGCCCCGCTCGCTGGCTAGGTGGGCAAGCCACGAAAGCCCTCGGAGGCGACGTCCTTTGTCCTTCTGTGAAAAAGGGAGAATGACACCTATTCCCCAGGGGTCTTTTAAGGCCCGAATAAAGTAATGCATGTGAAGGGGCTCTGGAAGATGAAAAGTGCTATTATCATCATTATCACCACCTAGGTCGGAGGAGAGCTCTGGCTAGAGTCTGGGCCTGTCCACATGATGCCGTGTGCGGGGCCTCCACGGGCAGCAGGGTTTCCCTCAGAGACCCTAAACCCAGAAGCTCCAAAAGCTAGGGCCTGTGCTCAGAAGTAAATGGCTTTACTGAGAATTCTGGATGAGGAGGAGACTCAACAGTCGTCACATGCCAAACACAAAGCCATTCCTCTAAGCCTGATGAATCTCTCTTTCCCCCGAAACGTGAACACATTTTTCCCTTCTGCGCCATAGGACGCTGAGCAAAAAAAGCCCCGGAGATTGGGGCAGAGCGTGAGGGAAGAACGCCGCTTCTGGTCCTAGTCCTTGCTTCTACCACTGCCTGGCCGTGGGGTCGCCACTCTCAGCCCCCAGCCTCTGTGTCTCTAAAATAAGGCTGCATCTCTAAGGGCTGTATGTGTTTAACATTCTGTGCATCTAAACCACGGTACTGCCTTTCTGAGCAGAAGGGAAAATGAGAGAGTTGAGGAAAGGGACTGGGGCCCACGAGAAAAGGAGGCAAGTGCAGCAGGTCTGTCCTATTTTACATCCACCAGACCAGTGGCCTCCTCTGCCCCTTGATAGCTTCGGGGCCTTAGGCAACCTGCTTAACCCTTCCTATGTGTAAAACGTGGATCAAAATATTACCAAGGCAGAACGTGGACTATTACTAAGTCTCCTTCACTCTCTCTAGCTCGCCGGAGGACTGTGACCCTGTCCTGGGAGGTCCAGCCATATTTTCTTCGAAGGTCAAGGGTACTAATGCCCTCCGAGGCCCACTGCCAGCTCCACAGTCACCTATTTCCATCCCCACCCTCTCTCCTGCTCCACCAACTCAGGGGTTAATGGGGAGGTGGCAGGGATGTCCCTCAGCACCCACACCATGAACATACTTCTCATGAAGGCCTGTCAGTGCTCAGACAGATGTCTACATGCTTGGGATGCAGGAGGAGAACTTAAAATAGGATGAGAGGGGTGTAAACCCGGAGAGGTCATTCTGCTGGCCTCTTTCTTCCTACCTGCTCTGCTGGAGAGGGAGGGGCCGGAGCACACTGGCTTCAGGAGAGTGGAACCGAAAGGATTAAATGCGGAGGTTGGAGATTACAGTTGGGAGGAAGGAGGGGTGGAAAGGGAAGATGGAGGTGAACAGAAAAAGGAGAAGGGTCGAAGGGAAGAGGGTGAAAAGTAGAGGGAGAGGACAAATGGGATGGGGAGAAAGGAAGAAATAGGTCAGGGTAAGAAAGGGAATGAGACTGGGGAGAAAATAAACAGAGGGAGAAGAAAAAATGGGGCCAAAATGGAGGAAAATGAAGAGGGAAGGAGAAAAGGCAGAGAATGCAAGCATGGGAAGAACTGAGGAAAAAAGGGAATAAAAAACAGGAGGGAGAGAAAGAGCGAGCGGAGAGGCGAGAGGACAGACTCCAGCCCTTGCAGAAGTGGCGCCACCCGCTGCATATTTACGACCCTGCCCGAGAGCGAGGGAGGGGACCGGCGGGGGGGAGTGCACGGTGGAGGAAAACATGAAGATGAAAAGCTAAGCTGCTCTGGTCCCTTGGCAGAAGGCAAGCACAGGGTCAGAATGTAAAGCGGGCCGGCTCCGCAGTGCCCAGAGAGCAGGCCTGGCGAGCGGGGGAGAAGGCACCCGCCCCGTCAGCTGGCCCGGCAGCTTGGCAGAGGCCTCCGTGGAGCAGAGTGGCTGCGGGCCTGCCGGGCCCTGCTGAGCATGCGTGGCTCCAGCCGCTGGGGCCGCTCAGCCCTGCCTGCTGAGGACTGGACGGGGAAGTGTGCACCCACCTCTAGCCGCTTCACTTGGGTCCTTTCGAACTCCAGGCGTGTCTCCAGCTCCCGGATCTTAGCTTCCTGCCTGCTCACCAGGGACCTGTCCACCATGGACTGCTCCAGGAACTCCACTTGGCTCTGGAGGGCTTGTAGCTGCGGGGTTGGCGGGGCGGGGGGCAGGAAGGGAAGAAAGAACTGAGCCTGGAAAGGGAAGGGGCAGGTTCTCTCTCTCCCTACCCCCCAGCAAGATCACCATGGTGACTAGAAGGCTGAGGGAGGGAGGGATGCACAGGGAGGTGGAAGGATGGGGCCCCGAGCCAGGGGCATTCCCCACCCGGCCCTGCGCGGGCACAGATTTTGCCCTTTGGAGAGAAAAGAGAAAGCTAAGGACCAGAGAGGGCATAGAAATGTGAAATGAGGCAGCTGAAGCCGTCTGCTATGGCGACACGGCTGCAAGCCTAGGCCTCTGCGCTTGCTGACGCTGACTGACGGCAGAGAGAAGCACGTGCTCGCCTGTGAGCTTGGGAGTTGGTCCCCCACACAGTGACCCTGGCACCCTCTCTCTGCCAAGGGAGACCCTGGTCCCCACCTTCTCCTGTAGCTCTTGCTTCTCTTTGTTGGCTTCTTCTAGCTGAGCCTGGAGATCATTCATCTGAGCCAGATCCCGGGAGGCCTGCGAAAGGAGAGGGTGCGAAGCAGGATCCCCCATGAGCACCAAATCCATCCCACCCCACCCCTCACTGAGGCCCGGGCACACAGGCACCATGACCCCCCCGAAGAAGAGGCTGTGCCAGGGACCTAGAGGAGGACCAGGGGATGGTGCTTCTGCAGGGTGCGGTGGGGCACTCCTGGGCAGGGTACCTGAGCCACGGCTGCCTTGTGCTTCTTCATCAGCTCATTCATGTCCTCCTGATCCTCCTCCAGCCGGCTCTGCATCTCATTCTTCTCACGCTGAAGGCGGCTCAGCTGCTCCTCCAGCTGGACAGAGGCGAAGACAGATCAGAGAGCATCAGGCCTGGCCTGCCTGATGGCCCTTGGTGGAAAGACTGAACCTCCCTAGGCCTCCTCCAATGGGACGGGGTGATGATAGGGCCAGGTCCACCCGCTGGAGGAGGTTCCAGGACCAATGATGCTCAGGGAACTGCCTGTCCTGCTGTGGGCCAGGGAGCTGAGGGAAAAGGGCTGTCTCTGCAGCTCAGGCAGACCCTGGGCTAAATGACAGCTGCTTTCTGACAGCTCTTTGGAGGCTAATGAGAAGGCAGAAAAGGTCTGTCCAGAACCAACGACCCATCATCCTAGCACTAGCGTTCAGGCCCTAACCTGTGCGCACTCTGCCCCCTTCAGGCCCCAAGGAAGGACCCCTCAAATCTGTGAAACTCTCCTGGCATGTTTCTCCTGGGACTGCCTGCTCCCTGGCCATCCAGCGCCCACAGCCAAGTCCACTCCTGGCGGGGGGAGGAGAAGAGACAGCCAACAGCAGCTTCAGGAAATGAATGAATCTATTAGCCTGTAATTCCAAACCAAAATGACTGTGCTGGCTCCTTCTCTGCCCCATCCATCTTGTTACCGGGACGTGGGGAGCCGCGGAAGACTCCGCCAAGAAATTTATTAACTTGGATTTAAATAAAATGGTAATTTTATAACAGCCCTTTTTAACACAATTAAGGAATTTGAATTACTCACCTGAAAACTACTGAGGAGCATAAATGTCACGGGGATAAATCAAGCCAGGAGATTGGCATCTCTCAGCAGTCAGGTGACGGGCTGGGGGGCCAGGGAGCCCAGAGCCAAGCCCAGCCTCCTCCCCTGCCCCATTCCCCGCCTGAGGAGGTACCGATGGCCGTATCCCAGTAATGAGCTTTCGGCCGATGGATGGGCCGTGGGAGAGGTGGGGAATTAAAAGCGAGGCATTAAATAAGCGCTCTAATTAGCTGCCGCTTGGGCTTGTCAGTGGGCTGGCCAGGGGCAGGGGAGGGAAACGGAGCCATCCCATCTTCTTATCGGTGCTTCTGCTAATCTCTAGGTACCTGTTTACATCCCTCAGCCACATTTGCTGCCTTTATTTATGGTGTCGGGGCCTGTGGCCAAGTGCCCACAGACAGGTGGTTGAACAGGGAGATGGGCCCTTGCTGGCTCCCTCCTCCACCTCACCCCCTCCCAGGCCTCTGCTCTGAGTGGGGAGAGGCAGAGGAGGGGAGGCCCGCTCTTGCCGCAGAAAGCCCTGGCGTGAAGGGACAGGGCTGGGGAATGAGCCCTGTTTGGGGTAAAAGCAGCCACTGTCACAGCTCCATTCTCCCTCAGCCCCCCGAATCTGGCCCGGCACACCCCGCATCCTCACCGCCGTCTTGGCTTTGGCGATGTCGTCAATCTGCAGGTGCAGGTCTTCGATCTCCACCTCCATTGCTTTGCGCGCTTTCACGGCTGCTGCACAGGTGAACTCTGACTCCTCCAGCTGGACAGAGAGCCACCCCCGCCCCAGGGAGAGACGTCAGCCATTCCCTGAGGGCAGGAGGGCTGTGCAGGAGGCTCGCAGGGGAGAGAGAACCCAGGAGCTCTCCTTCTCCCCTGTTTACTTCAGACCCCAGGGCTGTGATGTGTTGTGTGTGTTCCGGCAACTCCTCCCGTGACAGGGGTGGTGGATGCTGAGCCCGTCCATACCATCCGGGGCTTGACAGTCATGCATATCGCATGCGCAGACCCTGGGGAGTCTGGCTTCTCCCCACTTCCCTGTCACCTCCCTTCCCGAGGACTCAAGAACCACTGACAGGGGCAGGAGGGAGAGAGAGAAAGCTGACGGCTTCCTGTCTGCAGGTACCTGGTTCTTCAGCTGGGCGATCTCCCTCTTGCTGGGTGCGTTGTTCTTCAGGTGGTCCAGCATGATCTGAGCATCTGCCAGCAGGGCCTTGGTGCGCTTCAGGTCCTTCCGGAGCCGCTTCTCTGACTCAAAGTCTCGCTGGTTCACCTGGGTGGACACCAGAAGCTGGGGCTCTGGGCTCTGCCCCGGGGCCTCCTCCTGTCTTCCCCAAGCCCACTCCTCACCCTACCCTCACTCTCAGAGATGCCTAATGAGCAATGACAGAGGAAGTGCCAGGATTATGCCAGCTGGTGAGAAACCCCAGTGTGCAGGGGATGTGATCACCCATCCCACAGGTGATGACAGCGGGCCCTACGGAACCAGCACCCCTCCTGTTCCCAGCTCTCCCTGCGGCAGCCAGCAGTCTCCACTCACCTGGTCACTGAGCGTGGCCACCTTGTTCTCCAGCTCCCGCTTTTCCCGCAGCACCTTCTGCTTGTCCTCATACTCCTCCTCGAGCTGTACTTCCATTTGCTTTAACTGGGAACAGGGGCCCGTTCGTCCCTTCAGTGTCTGGTGCCAGCTAGCCCCTTCCCTGCTGGATCCTCCCACCCCACGAAAAGAGTGGGGCGGCGCTGAGCATGGATGACCCCAGAGGGGCAGACCCTGAATTCAAAGTTCCTAGGGTTTCAAAGCGGCCTGGGAGGGAGAGGAGGGACGGCAGGCCATGCACAGGGGCCCAGGCCCGTGTGGGAGCCCTTGCTCCAGAGCCCTTGTGCCTGCTTCTTGGCACAGAAAGCAGGGGGCATTAACTCCTCAAGGGCCTGAGCTTCTCTACAGACCCTGAGAACACACATCCCAGCCAATGCCAGGATCCCGAGCAGAGATTCCTGGTCCTGAATAGCAATGGAACATGGTGTGGCTAAGGTAAAGAAACAGAAAAGCCCTTACTTCAAAGCGGTGATGGGAGAACCGGCATTTATATTAGACAGGTAAGCGCCCATTGCTTCACCTTTTTCTGACACGACTGCCGGGACTCCTCCACCTCCTCATCCCGACTCTCCATCTCCTTGGAATGGGTCTGCCTCATCCGCTCCATCTCCATCTCGAGCCGCAGCTTGGCCTGGAGGTGGGTGGGAGTAGGGACTGGGTTTCTTTCCCAGTAGCACCCTGACCCCTCCCCACTGCACCCTCATGGGCCGCTCTCCCCAGGCTTGGGAGCAGGGAAGGTCTCCCTTCGCTCCCACCTTGTTTCTATGGCAAGTGGCTTCTCCAGAGAAGCTGAACTCCTTTCCTAGATGTCTGGCACAGGCCCAGAGAAGGCTGCTGGGGGTGGGGGCAGTCCTGCAGCTTTTCCACTTGGCCTCCAGGCTCTAGCTCCCTGAACTGACACGGTAGCTCAGTGGCAGGCTGGATGGGCTCATGGCCTTCCTGCTGCCATGCACTCTGAGCCCCTCACCAGTGGAGGTCAATTAAGATCTGTTCTTGTGGAAAGTACCATGAAAGCTTAATTATCTTCACACTGTGGTTGGCACGGATCAGGTGCTCCCTCAATACTTTGTGAATAAGAGAAGGAATGATCGACTGAATTTGGGATCTTGTCCTCCTCTGGCCCACACCCCAGGGTAGCTGTGGGGACGGCAGCCAAGCCCTCAGCACCTGCTCCAGCATCTGGATGGTCCCCGCCTGCTCATCCAGCTCCTCCTCCTGATCCTTGACCTTGGCCTCCAGGTCTCGGAGCTGTTTCTTGACCTTGGCCAAAGAGGCCTCATCCTTGGACTCTTGGGAAGAAATGTCCTGGAGCTCAGCCTCCAATGACACAACCTTCTGGGTGAATCCCGCAATGTCCATGTCTTTCTCCTGGAGCAAAAGAGAAGATGAGGCTGGCCCTGGGCTGGCCCGAGCCTGTGACGGGGTTGGGGTATGGACGATGGGAAGCCCCACGCACCTCCATCTGCTGCTTCAGGCTGAAAGCCTCGGCAAGGAGCATGTCCTTCTCCCGCTGCAGCTTCTCCCGCTGCAGCTTCTCCCGCTGGGCCTCCTCATGCGCCTGCGAGAGCTCACTGTCAAACCTGCGAGGGAGCGTGGCCATGCGGCTCCGTCAGATAAGGGAGGAGTCCAGGTCTCCAGCACCCAGAGGCCGCCCGGAAGTGGTGCCACAGATGTGGACAGGACCCAAGTCAGGGGGAATCATGCAGCCTGAACTTGGGGCCAGTGGTCAGGTGACATTCAGGGGTTACAGGTCAGGCCACCTAGGCCCTGCTGAGCAACCTGGTCTGGGATGAGGTGGGTAGGGATTTCATCACACAGGTCCAAGGAGGCTTTTCACCAGATGGGGCTGAGAGGGAACCACAGACTGCTTCCAGGGAAGAGGTGGACAGACTCTCCTCTGGCATTGTCTCGACCTTTTCCCTTTCAACAGATCAAAGAATGGGAAGAGGGACCAGGGTGAGGGCAGAGCGGGCATCAGAATGGGTAGAAATGGATGTCCTGCCGCGTCTAACTCACTTTCTACAGTTCAGTCTGGCAACTTTAGATAGAGCAGCTGGCTGCTGCCCCACCTCTGAGCACTAGGCCCTGGCCAGGCCCACCTGCTCCAGCAGCACCCTGTCACCCCCAGGACACCCCACACCAGGCTGGAGGCCCCAGTCCCACTGTGCCCGGCTGGCAGCGTGCTTCAACGGGCACACGGTCCACGGTCGGGGGCCTCTTTCTTCACTTCTCCACTTCCCAGCCTTCCATTTCCTGCCCAGTGACGCTACAGAAGGAGCAAATTGCTGAAATTCCTCTTACCACCTTCACTGAAGAGCTAATCGGCTTCAGGTCAAAAACTGGACAGCTCATCCCCATCCCAACTCCACATCAAAAAAAAAGTAAGAAAACTCCGGGCAGCTGAAACCTAATAAGGTGCCCAGCGGGGAGTGCAGTGAGACGGTAACTAGGCCGAGCTGGCACTGTCAGGGGGGTGCTCTGAGCGGGGGCGGGGTGTCCCGCTAAGGGTGTCTGCCACTAAGTAAAAGGGAAGGTGGGGGTAAAGATGAGAACTAGGGAAGCAGAGAGTCACAGAGCTGGGAGGGAGAAATATAAGGTCTTCCTACCTCCCCCCACTCTCTGCAAAGCAGCAGCCTGGCAGGCCCGAGTGAGCCCAGGAGGCCAAGGGTAACCCTGGGTCACTGAAAGGACTCAGCCCTGCCGTCCTCACCCCCAGGGCGTGGGTGTAGGGCTGCCCCTTCACAAAGGCAACTGGTGCCTCTGCTGAGAACCCGACCCCTGCAGCGGGGAACCGGGTGCCGTTCCCACCCCCTGGGGCACCCTGCTGTTCCCAGGGTGTGAGGGTTCCTCCCTGTTACTAATAGAGGCATCCCATTCCCATCCCCAGCCAGGGAAGTTAATTTAGATTGGATTTTCTCCTGTGAGGGCTACACCTGCCCCCCTTTGTGTCATTACATTTACCATAATGAGATGGAAGCGGCACGATAGTTTAACAACATTAGTCAGGAGAGTGTGTTTGTGTAGCTGAGGCAAGGGAGAGATGGGGAGCCGGGCGAGGGCAAGAGGCAGGGCCGCCGTGGAGAGGTTCCTGCACGGGCTCTGGCTGACACCCATCCTTCCCGGCCCCAGGCAGGGTGACAGCACATACTGAGGGGAGCGTGTCCGAGAGCGAAGCCCTGAGCAGGCCGTCGGTGGGGCTGTGGTCTGCGTGCTCCTTAGGAGTGAGACTCTGACTCACATTCCGGGATGAGTGACCATGCAGGCAAAGCCCCTGGCCAAATTCAGGCCCCCTCTTCTCTCCTCCCCGGAGGGAGGCAGGGAGCCCTGTCTCGTGCTGCTCTAGGAAGTCCTCTGCGTCCAGGGCAGGGGGCCCACCCACCTCCTCTGCTTCTTCTCCAGCTCGTGGCTGCGGACCTGCTGGCCCTCCAGGTGCAGCTTGGTGTCCTGCAGCTCGGCTGCCAGCCGCTGGCACTTCTTCTTGAGCTGCTGCAGGGCCCGCTGGCTCTCATCACTATCTGCCTGCAGGTCTCCAAGCTAGGGGGCAAGATGGGGTGCAGGCTCAGCAGCCATTGAGAGGCCCAGAAGTACTGGTCAAAGAGGTGAGGAGAAGGGAGTGGGTGGATGAGGGGGAGACGTGGGGATGGGGGATGAAGTCAGGGTCGTCCAGGGAATCTAAGACACTCTTAACAACAGCTTGCCTTTGGTTGTCCCCCGAACCGAGAGGCGAACATGTCAACCAACCCTTCCCCATTGCTCCCAGGGCCTGCCTGGCTCCGGCCACTCCCTGGGCCAACACGTGGCGCCAAGCCCCTCCCAGCTTCTCCCAGCTCCTCCTAGGCACAGACCTCCGCTTCTTCCACCAGACTCACCCGCCTCTCCAGCTGCCTTTTGCTCTGCTGCTCCACCTCCAGCTTGTCCTCAAACTCCTGCTCGAGCCGCTTCTTGGTGAAGTCCACCTCCCGCACCGCTCGCTCATACTTCAGGCGCCACTCGCCACCTGTGGGGTGGGGGCAGACAAGGGAGGACCGAGCTGCTGAGAGTCCCTGAGAAGGGGCCGAGGGGACGAAGGATGGGGCAGCAGGTGGAGTCAGCTGGAGGGACTCAGAAAGGTCCCTGGAATGGTGGCTTCCTCCCAAGGCAGAAGGAGCCACTAGCTGGGAGAAGCCTAGAGAGGGTGATGTGGCCACGTGTGCCGTCTTCTCCCCAGGGACCGGCAGACCGTGGTCCTCAGACATCATCATTATCATGGCTGTTACCGCCCTCCACGATAATCGCCTGCACTTACTGGCACCTCTACTTTCTCATCAGTTTATTTCACGTAGCCTTAAAACAGCCCTACAGACAGGAGACAAGGGGTGTGGTTTCCTAGGGGTGGGCAACGGAGGTTGCCACTCAGGCCACTTCCAAGTCCTCCAGCCTCTGACCCACCTGTGTCATCATCATCCACTTCCCCGTTGATCTCAGCTGCCCGGATGAGACGGGCCTCCATCACTTCCATTTCCATCACCTCCATTTTCTTCTTCAGTGCATCATACTGGGTCTGCAGAAGAGGAGGCTATGAGGTATGCCGATCCCCCCCTTGCGCAGTACCACCCGCGCCCCTGAACCACCGAGACCACAGTCCTAAGCTTACCCGGGGCAGACAGGGGTGCTGGGCTGGTGGCAGAGGTGCCACCTATCATTGGGGGAGCAGTGGGCACTAGAGTGCGGCAGCCGCTAGCACGGTCCTGCCCTCACCTGCAGCTCCTTCATCTCCTTCTCAGCCCGGAGCCTCTCAGCGGTCTCCGCGTCCAGCAGCTGGGAGGCGGACTCTCCCGTGTTACGTTCATCCGTCAGCTCCGATGTCAGCTCTGAGATCTGTGGTTGGGGGAGGGAGTCGCCACCAGTTGAACTGCCTGCCTCACTCAGCTGGAACAGCAGTGGGGGGCCTCCTGGGCTGGGCGCCCTGCGGAGGTGGGCCGGTCAGTCTGGTGCTGGGAGGCACTCACCCGGGTCTCCAGCCGGTCACTGCTGAGACGCAGCTCGTTCCGCTCCTTCTCCACCTTCTCAAGCTTGCTCCTCAGCTGCTGGATCTCTTCCTAGGGTGCAGTAAGGCGGGCAAAGTGAGCCAGAGGCCCTGGGAGAGGTTGGGGCCCAGGAGCTGCACCCTTGGGGTGAATGAAGCTGGTGAAGCTTGGGCCGGGACACGAGGGCACTGGAAGCCACTGCCTCCCTGGGGCTCCATCCCTAGACCCTTCCCCGTATGCTGAGGATGCTTGAGGTCTTATCCTAAGAGGATACCTAGGGGCTCAGCCAGCACCCCAGAGGGATGCCTTCTGTTTGCTGGGCATAGTTCAAGGATACCAGCTCTCTGGACTAAACAAAGGAGCACTTGGGAGCCCAAGACAAGCTGGCAAAACTCTTGCCCACGTGGATCAACTACAGCCCTTCCCTCCCAGCAGCGTGGCCTTCCCAGGCTGTTACATACGTCTTTGTTCCGGATCTGCTCCTCCGACAGCTGTACCTCAATGAGGGGTCGCACCGTGGTGAAGAGCTTCCACCAGGGCCAGTCCTTCACCCCTTTGTTCTTCTTGATGTTCTTCTGCACACAGCGAATGGCCAGGTCTTGGATCTAAGTTGGGGTGGGGTGTGGCACACAGCAGGCTCTCAGTCCTGAGCCCACCAGGACCCTCCCCACCACCAGCTCAGCTGTTGGGCTGCTCCTCTGGCCAACTGACCCCGAGTCAAACACTCCCTAAGCCACCCCTTGCCCCCAGCCTCCCTCCGTTCCTTAGAGAGTGGGAGGCAGACAGCCCGGCCCTGGGAGCACCGCACTGGGCGCTAACCGCTCCGCCCTCATTAGGAATAACTTCGTCTGCTTTATTTGCTGCCTGATTATTTCCAGCACCCTGGCCGAGATGTGCTCTAAAACCTAATCTTGCTGAAACACAAGAGTCGGAGGTACTGGCTGTTTTATGGACCTGCTAATAAGAAAAGGAGACGCTGACGCAGCTCCTTAACCCTCACGGAGCAGCCTACGATCCGGAGCCCACCTTTGCCCGGGCCCTGCTCCCCACCACCCTAGCCCTCGGACCAGGCCACACAGCCCCATCGCTGGGTACACGAGCACTGTCGCTGGCACCAGGGAGCTGCCCATCCCCTGCCCTGGCCCAGGGCACGCTGCCCCGGGACGTCCAGCCTCTTCTCCCCCAGATAGCGATAACTCACAGCCCCACGACCTCCTGCCCGCACGTTCCCTCGAGTGTCCCTCCCCCACCCCCAGGAGCTCAGCTCTGCCCATCTAGGCTGAGGAGTGGGACGGGGATGGCCCTGCAGCAGCACCTTTTTCTTCTTGAAGTGCTGACGGGCCAGGTAGCCCCTGCAGGCTGCCTGGAACAGGGTCAGGTTCCTGCTGGTTTGTTCATCCCGCTGTTCCTCCAGCCGTGCCAGTGTGCCTGCCCGGAAGAACACCTGTGGAGACGTGGGCCAGGTGAAGGTGGGAGCCTGGGCTGGGGGCAACCCGGTGGAGGAACGAGCAGCTGGCACAGAAAGCCAGCAGGCCCAGAACCTGGCCCTTGGCCTGGGAAGAGCCTGAAAACCCCGGGGTCTACGAGGAGGGAGGAAGAAAGAGGCTGAGGGAGGAGGGCCAGGCTGGGGGCTGGGGAGGCTTTGGAAGGGGAGGAGCAAGGTGGGAAAGAGATGAAAGGAGAGGGAGGCCGGAGGGAAGGTATCTGGGACAAGAAGGACGTGAAGCGGCGGCCGGTCATATGGGGAGGCGCCCCTCAGCAACACCTATGGTGGCTTCTTCCCCCAGGGCTGCCAGCAGCACTGCCCACGCCCCTGTACCCACGGCCACTGCAGGCCCGCCACGGGCTCCAGCCGCCTCTGGCCTCCAGCTGCCTGCGATCAGGCAGATGGTGGTGTTATGTGTTTAAGAAGGAAAAGGCCCAGGATGCAGTGTGCAGAGAAGGGGGAGGCCGGGGAGGGGGCCCCTCCTCTTCATCCTCCCAGCTCCGTTTCATGTCGGACTGTCTCCTCTTTCATGTGCCAACACCCTGCCCCCACACCCAGGTTTCATCTCGTGAAAGAGCCAGTGGGGTGGGTGAGGGTTGGCCCAGGCGAGGGACCTGTCACACGGGTTTGGGGGCTGGAGGGCAGGCGTGAGAGGAACCAGCTGGATGTCCCCACACCCAGCCTTTCCTCTCACTCTTTGGTGCCCTGAGCTGGGACTGGATAAAATGTTCTGTGCTAAGAGAAAAAGAAGAGGGGGAATCGTCAGGTGAAAAAAAGACTAGTATCCTTGCAGAGGGCAAAGGCCATCTAGGTTTACAGCACCTCCACCTTGCCCAGAAGACAGAAAATTCCCTTTTGTGGGGCAAAGAGAAGATGTGAACTCCACGGGAAACATTCAGAACCGATAGGCACGGTGTCCCCAGGCCTCCCTCCAGGGAAGAAGTGGGGAGAGAGCCCGCACTTTCTGCTGAGAAAGCTCCGCCTCTGGCAGGAACCTAGTTCCCCGAGGCTGGCCTGGGAGAAAGCCAGCTCAGTCCTCTGCAACACGCAGGGCTGAGCGCCTGGGATCTCCAGTGGGTCTCGAGCCCTACCTGAGCCTCTGTTTCCCACGATGCGTGAGCCTGAGATTCCACAGGGGGTGTGAGAGACCCAAGTCCCCCGAGAGGGTGGGCCAACATGCTAGTGGTCAGTCTGACTAGGCAGACGTGAGGTGTCAGGGAGGGGGATGGAGAAAGGCCCAGAAATACACTGAGAAGCGAAAGGATGGTCTGGAGTCTAGAGCAGTGAGCCTCAAACCTCTCTTAACCTCTGTACATTTGTGGGGTTGAGTCTTTTTGAGTATTAGGTGACATCTCAGGGCCGTCTCTCCCCGTGAAACACACCTATCCATACACGTTTTACAAACATCAGGAAGCTCTCAGACACCCAAGCTTCCCTGCCTGAACCCTCAGGGTCCTGTGGGCTCAGGTTGAGACCCCCTTTCCTCTGAAGCAATGGGACACACACACAGGGAATCCTCACTCACCAGCCAGTACTAACCACAGCCCAGAAGCCCTGACACTTCTCTCCCAAACCAGATGTCAGCAAGCATCTGACTTTGCCCCTAATTCTGCTCTGAGCGTGAGTGGGCCCTGGGGTTCTCCTGTTTCAGCCAGGCACCTGGGATGATGCAGAGAGTCGGAGAGGGCAGCTGGGAAGAGGACCAGTCTGTGCAGGCCTTCTTCTACCCAAGACATACCTTGGAGGAGGTGCCAGCCCCAGGGCCAGCCAGCAGCGGCTCAGCCTGCCAGAGTTGACAGGAGCCCACCCAGGGAGAGAGCAAGAGGCTGCAGTGAAAAATCTGACTGCAGGCCTCCCAGGGAGGAAGCTCAGCTGGCCGCTCCTGAGCTTAGAGACAGGTGGGGAGGAGGCGAGCAAGAAGGTGAGCCAGACAACGGCAGAGACCAAAACCAGAAAGATGACACGGAAAGAGGCTGGGACCACAGAAGGCACAGAGGACAAGGAAAGAAGCAGAAAATAACAGATCTGAAACCAAGGAACAGAGACCAGCAGGGACAGCCACGGCCCAAAGGAAAAGGATACACCAGGGACAGCACAGACGAGGGCAGAGGCAGGGGACAGGAAACGGATCCCCAGGGAGCGAGGGGGCAGAGGAACCAAAACCATGACTCAGAAGCAACGCAGGGAGAACAGAGCTGACAAGCAGTACGCAAGGCTTTTTTGCGAGCACCCCCTTCCACCTCATACTCCCACGCGTTCCTTCCCTCTCTGCTGACAGATAGACAGTCCAGAACCCTCCCGGTGGCTCCCAACTGCTCTCCGTCCCACCTTGGCCCTTGAAGCACAAACGTGGATGCCACCTGTCAAGCCTCCCAGTCTCGGGAGAGAGGGGTGTCCAGGCTCCCTGCCCCGCGGGAGGGACGCTCGGCTGGCCCTCTGGTATGGAGCGACGCGGCAGACTGGCACCTGGGGCCGGTGTGCCTGCCTTTTCTGCACGACGTTCCATTCAGGTGAGGAATTTGGCCTGTTGGACGGGTGGTGGCGGCACAGCCTCACCAAGCCCTGCTTGCTCTCTGGGACCCTGGCAGCCCCAGACGACTCACCCAAGGAGGCTCTGCCTTCCCGCCTCTCCCAGCTCTCCCTTCCGTCTTCCCCATTCCCCACACCAGGACTCAGGCCAATTCTGGGCCACCTTCTGACCCACTCCCTCCTGACATCACAGAGGTGTTCCGTGCACTGAACAAGACAGTTATTCAGAGGGAGGGAGAGTCAAGTTTGCTGCAGCTGGAGTATTCTACTTCCTGGCCCCCAGCCCTGAAGGGGGCAGCTTGAGAGGAAGGGCAGCCCCAGAGTGGCTGGGGGGGAAGGGGGCTGGCGGGGGCAAGACCCAGCAGGGGCCCCAGGAGACTCCTGAAGTTGGACTGAGCAGGGAGAGCAGGAGGGGAGGGGCAGCCACGTGGACAAGTGTGACCAGAGAGTGAGAGCGACTGCCTTCCTGTAGGGACAACTCACCCGGCTCAGGCCCATGCAGCAGCTGCTCTGCTCCAGGTCCAAGGACTCCAGCAGCTCCTCCACCGCCTACAGAGAGATGCCTCTGTCAGGGAGCCCACCCGGGGACTCCCCACCTCCACGCAGGGCTTCTCCCAGTCACTCAGCCCTTCCCGTCCTCCGTTCAGTCCGCTCTTTATTCAGCGAGCACTTTCGGTGGCTTCTGCAGCGTCAGGCCCCTTGCTGGATTCCGGGGATATAAAGATGACTGCGAGAGGAACACGCTATCTTGTTGGGGAGCGAGACAAGAAAATTGGTGAAGTACACAGAGGAGGAGGCATCTAAGCCAGACAAGGGAGCTGTGGAAGGCACTCGGAGGAGGTGTTGCTTGTGCCGTCTTTAGATACAAGTAAGAATTAGCCAAAGTAGGGGTGAGGGCATTTCAGGCAGAGGTACTAGCATGCGCAAAGGCCTGAAAGCATAAGGCAGCAGGGAGCGCCGAGGAAACTCCAAGTAGCTCAGTATAACTGGAGGGTGGGGCGGGCAGCAGTTAAGGGGCGAGTAGATAGGTGGGCAGGGGCCAAAGGACGTGAGCCTGTGTGCTCCGAGAGCCCCTGGAGGGTTCTCTCGGGGAGGGGCACGGTCAGATGTGCTCTTGATAGAAATCCCACCGGCACACGAGTGGAGAATGCAAGGACCCCTTAGGCAGGAATCCATAGGAGAGAAGGCTAGAGCCTGACCCAAAGGGAGGAGAGGAGGGGGAGATGCGAGAGACCTTAAGGAGATGAAGCCTTGCCCGATGGGGGTTGGGGGGGTTAGACGAGAGGGAGGAAGCTAGGGACACATGGAGGTTTCTGACTTGTGTAGTAATTAGTTACTGGTACCATTCTCCAAGGTAGGCAATACGAGAGAAAGAGTAGGTTTGGGAGGAGATATAATCAGTTTGGTGTGAGCGTGCAGAGTTTGAGGTACTATAAGGGCGTACAGGTAGAGCAGCCCAGAAAGCAGCTAGATAGAAATGCACGTCTGGCGTGGGAGGGAGGCCTGGGCTAGAGGCATTGATCTGGGAGTCATCAATATATATGCGGTAATTGAAGTGATGGGCATGAATGAGGTCGCCCAGGAAGAGGGTGTGGAATAGAAAACAGATAACGGCCAAGGAGGGAGCCTTAAAGAAGAGAGAGGCCTTTACTTCAGGGGGGTGTGAAAGACGGGAAGCTTAGAGGGACCGAGAAAGAAAGAACAGAGAGACAAGGGGAAAACCAGGAGTGGCATCAAAGAAGCTGAGCAGAGAATGTTTCAAAAAGAACAGAGCTGTCAACAGTCACATGGCAAGAAGCACAGAAAAGTGCCCATTAGCTCTGGTAACATGGAGGGCTTGGGAGGACAAGACCAGTCCCAGGTGTCAGGGGTGGCAACCAGGCAGCTACCGGTGGAGGAATGAATGGCAGTGGAGCAAGGGCAGCAAGAGGAGACTAAGTGTCGATGGTGCAGGGCACGAGGGAGGGTTGATGGAAGGCTCCTTTCTGAACGTAACGTCTGTGGAACGTTTCTCCACTGAGAGAAGAGCCGGCAGAGGAGAGGCCGGAGGAACAGGAGAGAGAGAAGACGTATCGCTGATGGAGCAGGTCTCCAGAGAGGCCAAAGGGAATTGGTTCCAAAGCACGGGAAGAAGGGACTGGACAAGGGGAGGGAGGATACTTCTCCCACCCAGACAGGAGGGCTGGGGAAGAAGGAGGCACCTGGAGAGGAGTGTACAAAGGCAGGAGGAAGTTGGAGCCTCGATTTTATCAGCGTTTGGAGGCAAGGTCGACTGCTGGGAAGGTGCAGTGGGGGAGGATTTGAGGAGAAAGATGGAGAATGGAATAGCAGAGAAGGAGCTCGGAACAGGGGCCAGGTAAGGATGGAGCATGTGGAAAATGGGGCCCAAGGGTCCAGTGAGCCTGGAGACCATGGACCTATAGGAATTCAAGTCCCTGCAGTTGTATAAATTTCTCCCACAGCCCTTTGGGAGCCCCAAGCCAAGGAGGGCAGACGTCCAAAGGTGGCCCTTCAGGGCTGGGTGCTATGGGAGGCTCAGGAGAGCTGAGGGTGAGGAAGGCCGAGTGACCGGAGGGCTGGACCACGGCGTCGAGACTGAGAGGAAAAGGAAGTGAAGTCAGAAGGGAATGGACAGAGCAGAGAAAATGGAGTGGGGTCCAGAAATGAGCGGTGATGATGGAGTCATAGAGCCGGTGTCCTGAGGAAGGGGTCAGATGCACAGGTAGGAGGCTGTGGTGAGAGATTTCAGGAGCGGAGAATTTCCAGGGATGATGCGGCGCTGGGTGTAGCCATGAGGGGGAGGTGGGAATGGAGGTCAAGGGTGAGAGAGAAGGGGGTGTGGGGGGGTCATCTATAGCCACACCAAGGTCACCCTGCACACTGGCAGGTCCCGGATGGAGAGGGTAGGGAGAAGGTCTTTGAGGCCTCCATCAGTGTGGGTCTGTGACTCGGGGGGCAGCAGGAGGCAGGGGGCTTCCTGCCCTGTCCTGCACAGCATTCTCTCTTTGAGGAGAGCCGTCCTAAGGCCTGAGATGCCTTCCAAGTCAGGCTGAGTGCCTGAGGCCAGAGCACAGTGCAGGAGGGTTCCTCGGCTCAAGGAGCCCTTTGGCTCTCTGAGGAGTTGCCTCCGGGGGTCAAGGTGACAGCCGAGAACGGCAGGGAGACATCCCTTCACACAGCCAGGAACTCACCAACCTGGCTGACAAGGGGCCTGCCCTGGGAGCCTTAGGCTCACCCTGGCACCAGGAAGGTGCTGCCACATCAATCTTCCTCCAAGGAGGGATGCCTGCCCCTCCCCTGGACAGCTTCCTGCTGAAGGAACTAGGCCCTGGTGTGGAGGTCAAGGCTGAGGGGCCCGGGTGCTACCAGTGGGGCTACCCGAAACACTAGTTCTAATCTGCCACCTGGGAGGCTCTTGGGTGACTGTCTGGCTCACCGGAGAGCAGACACCCTCAGCTCGGGCCTTTAAAGCGGGTGGCTCTTCTGTGATTCCTACAGTCCGTCTGTGCCCCGGGCTGCCTTCCCCCCACCGCCACAGCCTGGCTGCCATGTGTCCCTGGCCTGGCCCTGGTTGGGCAAAACCAGGTACCTGACCCAGGGCCAGCCTGGCTCTCTCTAGGGGAGGAAGGGCAGCTGCCTGGAGGGGTCTGAGCAGAGGGAGGAGGGTCTGGCGGGGCCGTGGGGACCCAGACCTACCCGCTTTTCATCCACCACAATGTAGTTGCGCCCGTGTTTCTTGGTCAGGTGCGGGGCCAGGACGTCGAAGCGGCGGCGGAACTCGGAAAACACCATGTGGTCAGGGTAACCTAGGGAGAGAGCGGCCCGGAGCCAGGCCCGTCAGCCTCGCCTGCTCCCAGAGCCCCCAACAACCACTGGTGCCCAGGTAGAGTCACCTGAAAGCGAAGAGACTGCAGGGGGAGGAGAGCCCGCGGTCGAGGTCGCCCCGGGAAAGGAGAGTGGAGAGGAAGGAGGCAGGGGCGACGGACAGGAGGCGGGAGGACAACCAGGCTGCCCCACGCTGGGACTGCGGGGATTAAACAGGGAACAGGTTCTTTTAGAAGGAAGCAACTTCCTTGTCGGTGAGGATGCAAACGGGGGACGGCTGACCACCTGGAAGGAATGCTATGGAGGTAAGAGCCTGGATGACCCCTAAGATGCTTTCTAGCCTCCAGGTCTATGACTCTGTGATAACCCAGAGAACGATGTCTTGAGGAATTAATAAGGAAAAAAAAAAAAAAAGAAAGAAAATAGGGCATCGGAGAATAGCAGAGAGGAGAAGTGCAAGGGCTTAGGGTTGGAATCCTGCCCTGGTTCTTGCTATCATGTGACCTTGGACCAGTCACTCAACCTCTCTGAGTCTCGGTTTCCTCGTCTGTAAATGGGGGCCCTACCACTTACCCCACATGGTAGTCATGGTGCTTAAATGGGAAAATGTGTAGAAAGCACAGGTTGGCTCACTTGGTGGGTGTTCAGAAAGGGCTCCCTTCCTGCCACCTTCCTGACCTTGGGCCCTAGGCCCAAGGTGACCAAAAAGCCTTGTAGATTCCCTTTCCCTAAAGAGTGTTACCTCTAACAGAGATTCCCTACTGTCTGGGCTTGAGGCTGGGGCAAGGTCAGGATTGTGGCTAGCGAGAGGTTACCCTGAGGCACCCCGAGGACACCAGAGCCCACGGCAGTGGACCAAGAGACCCACTCCTATGGAATCACAGAATTTCAAGCCCAAAAGAGGTCTTACACCGGATATAACTCAGCCTCCAGACGTGGAAACTGAGGCCTGAGAGGGGGAGTGACTGGCTTGCTCAGGGTCACAAAGCCTGCGGCTGGAGGCAGAGCTGGACTCCAAACCCAGGCTCCTGACAGCCCGTCGGGGGCTCGCTCCACCTCAGCGGCCTAGCTGGCTCTGGGAAGCCCTCCAACTGCGAGATGGGGCTGACGCATGTGCCTGATGATTGAAACAGGAGGCGGGGGCCACTGAGGGGCCAAGACAAAGTGAGCTATTGATTGTATCTGAATTGCAATTAAATTGATGGGCCGGGATAGCAGGTCCGGACGCCTGGCATCTTAATTAATCATCAGCGCCGTCGATGGTGGCTGGGGGCTGGGGGAGGAGAGGGGGTCCGCTGCGGCTGGCCTCATCGATCTGCTTGTCTGAGTAAAGCACATTGATTTTGGTTCAGAGCGGTAACAATCTGGTTTTGAAATAATAAACAGCAACTCCTTACCAAGACGTGGGGACAGATCGATGATTTATTTAGAGCAGGGCTGGGAGCCCGTTTCCTAGCTTTGGCTGCTAAGGAAGTGACGGTGCCCCTGTGGAATGCCTCCAGGGGACCTGGCTGTGGGTCGGTGGGAGCCTGCATGGTCTTCTAGCTAAGGGAGAAAAGGGCGGAAACCTGGCGATTCATAACTTTTCAGGCAAACGAAACCCTACTCAGAAACTGGTCTGTTTCGGTCAAATCCTGCTCTGCCACTCACGCGCTGTGTGACCTTGGGCAAACTACTTAACCTCTCTGAGCCTCAGTCACCTCATCTGGGGATGATACTAGTACCTACATCTCATGAAGTTGTTGGGAGGATTAAATGAGTTACTGTGTGGGACGAATAGTGTCTGGTATACCGTAAATGCTCTAAGGATGTTAACTACTGTTGTTATCGTTCTGTCTGGCCCCTCGTCCAGATGGGTCCGTAAAAAGGGTCTGTCTGACCTTTCTTGGGAATTCTAAGTTCTTCAGAAAGATTTAACACTTCATTTCTCATTGCAGGGCTGGCCCACTCTTAGAGGCGGTTGCTCCACAAGGACACTGAGTCTGCTGCTGTGGGCAGAGCTGACCTGTCCAAACCAGGGAAGGCGGAAGGAGGGAGCTGTGGGAACAGGGCATGTGGGCTGGGCAGGGGAGGGGATGAGGAGGGCTGGAATGTGGAAGGGAGAGGATGGTCAGCAGGCTGGCAAGAAAAAGAGAAAGGAACAGACTGGGCTGGAGAGATGCAAGGAGAGACCCCCAGAGGAGGCAGCAGCAGAGATGAGGGGGATCTAGGGCCAGTCGGAGATGGGGGGGAGCAGCACCCCTCCAGCCCCACAGGCCCTGTTAGGGAGGTGGGGAGGGGCAGGGGCAGCTCTAGGAGGGAGAGGTAGGAGTTGAGAGGGAAGGGGCCCCACCTTGGCGGTACATGCGCACGGCATCAAGCAGGCGGGAGCCTCGAAGCTGGGCGCGGAGCAGGGGCACGTCCAGCTGCAGGAGCCCGGCCTCGCAGTGGTCTCCCGGGGGCAGGTCCAGCTCACTGCTGCAGCTGACTCTGCGGGAGTGGGCAGAACGGGGCTCCCCCGCCCAGCCCTCTGCCACAGGCAGGAAGCAATGCACGAAATGCAGCTTTGACTTCTTGATGGTGTCAATGAGGGCGTCCTGCCAAAGGGGAAGGGACAGCCTTCAGTGGGCTCTGACAGCCCGAGCCAAGAGACCAGGGACTGGCGCCAGCGTCTCCACTCTGTGCAGGATGGCAGGTGTCCCACCCCTGGCTGGGCAGGACGTGCTAAGCCTGGACAACCCTGCCCGTACTAGGCCCGGGGGGCCACGCACAGCGGGTAGCACTGCAAGAGGACCCCACCAGCAGCAATCAAGGTGAGTGGGCTGCTGAGTGGGCACTGGTGACCGGAGCATGCCCAGAAGGCCCCGGCCCCCTGCCAGCGGTCGGGAAGCACCCCAGGGCCTGCACTGGCACACTCACCACCTGCAGCCTAATCTGGATGCACAGGGACTTCTTCTTGACGGCCGCCATCCCTGTGGTGAAGGTCTTCCGCATGCTGGTGGCCCGGCGCAGCGCCAACTGCGAGCCGCCCTCCAGGCCCGCAATGGAGCCTGAGAGCACCGTGGCGCTGCCCGCCCGGCCCAGAAACAGGTTGCTGATGATTTTTCTGCCAGAGGAGGAAAAGGAGGGAAAGAAGTCATATTCAGGCAGCAGTAGAGGCCGTTCCTCTTCCCAGCTCCTAGGTCACCGTGGCCGGGGGTCTGGGCTATCTGGGCCGGGGCTGCACGTCTCACACCCGACAGAGACACTACAGAGAAACCCTCAAACAGCAGGAAGAGAAAAACGGGGTGGGTGGACGGAGTGGTGTTCTTACTTCTGGGAGTCCTGCAGGAGCCGGGGGGCGTTCTGGGTGGCCGGGTTCTGCTTGGTGTAGCTCAGCCAGCCGGCCGTGTTGTACTCCACCCAGTTGGTGCAACGGCTGTGGCCCAGGAGAAAATGGTGCGCTTTGCTGCTGCGCAGGAGGGGGCTTTGGCCTGAGGGCGGGGCAAGCAAGGTTCAGGTCATCAGGGCACAGGTCCCCCAAAAGCCCATGGACTCAGTGAGCCCCCCAGGCAGTGCCAACTAGACTCATATATACATAAATGGGTTCTCAGGAGAGGAAGCAGAGGAGCTGCCCTCCAGGGGTACCACCTACCTTTTCGGTCACCTTCCTGGGGGCCATAGTAGGAGAAAAGGCGCTCCAGGAGGTCGTCCTCAGTGGCCCCTGGCACCAGCACCTCCTCTTCCAACAACCATAGCAGGCCCTTCGCCTCATCCGTGTGGGCCAGCGAGCGAACCTATGCAGAAGGAAAGAAATCCCGCAGTGTCACATGGAGCAGTGTGAAGGGGGCTAGGACCTGTGGTCCCGACCGCACACCATAAACATGCTACACAGATACACACGCTACAGCTCCTGCCACTCACGGCTGACATTCTGTGGAGCAGGTGGCCAGCAAGGAGAAAGAGGGGCCAGAAAGAGATCAGAGAGAGAAGCCCACAGCACAATGTGATTCCTAGGACCTGTGTCCTAAGTCCCCAAAGACTGAAGGCTTCTCATTGACGCCCAGAGCCTCTCCTCCATCCTCAACCCCTTGGAGATCAGGGGGGCTTGGGTGAGCCCCGCGTTGCCCTCACTCTCTGGGCATCACCTCCCACGCAGATGAAAGGAGATGAGGTCTTTAAGGCCCTGAGCACAGGGCATGGCCCAAAGGAAGCTGTCAACAAGAGACAGCGGTGATTAATCCCGGTTCCCCGCCCGAGAGGGGAGAACCCAGAGAGGGCTCGGAGCACTGCAGGTGGGGTCACTACAGGGTCCTAAACTCAAGTGCCAAAAGCCTAAGACAGCTGACTTCATGGCTGTGGCAGCCAACATGGGCAGAGCTGGGGCGCCTGGAGAGCAGGTGGCCCCATCTGAAGGGAACAGCCACCACTCAGGAGCAGCCAACCGCTGTCCCGGAAGAACGGTGGCCTAGTGTCGGCAAATCCTCCAGCTTTTCAAGAGAAGGTGGAAATACTGAATTCTGGTTTCTAATTCCCCATGCAAGCCGAACAACCGAGGGTGAAGGTGCCTTTTTTCCGGAATTCCCAGGTCTTCCCTGGGCAAGGAGGCCTCTGGCCTGGCCTCTAGGGGCTGGGGACAAGAGAAGTAAGAGAAGTACCCTTTTCCCTCTCTGACCCAAGCTGCCCAAGGGAGTCTGTGTGCTGACCAGGAGGACACAGAAGGTGGCCGAGGACCGATGGGCAACTAAGGCCCCCGAGCAGCTGGAGCTGTACGGCAGGAACGAGCAAGAAGCCCCTGGATGGTGAGTGGCAGGCTGGGCACTGAGGGGCCCCCGTGCCCAGACCCATCAGAAAGGGGAGAGCAAAGGAGGGGAGGGATGGCCAAGCCCCATTCAAACACACTGTCTGACCCACCGCTGCTGCTAAGCCAGCCGGGTCAGCTTGCCCACACCTCCTGGGAATGGCAGAGGCTCTCGAGGGAGGCCTTGGCAGGGGCCTAGGTGTCAGGAAGAAAAGCCAGCTTCCCTGGGGAGATGTGGGACTTGGGCACTTTAAGCCCTTGTCCCAGGGGGACGCTCGCTCTCCCGGGGCCCCACCCCCTGGGCCAGGGCCTTCCCGCAGGGAGGCGGGAGAGAGAGGTGGGACTCAAAGCAGAGGAGGGAGATCAGCAGCCTGGCAAAAATGCCAATTCTCCAATAAAGCGCCTCATGCAGCTTCCCTAATTGAAGACAATGGCCAAATGCCAGGCGCTTGCCAGGCAGCCAGTCCCCCAGGCAGCAAGGTGCCCAAGACGCTTGCCCAAAGGGTGACAAGGCCCGTCCCCAGACTGAGCGGCGAGGACTCACACCCACACAGCCCCTCAGTGGGCATTTTATATCTGGGTACTGTTTCTGTGTTTGGGTGAATGCCACCTCCTCGCCCTGCTCTGCTAGGCTGCACTGGTCCTCCGCTTGGGGACGATGGGAGGGGATGACTGTGTCCTCTGGGTCCAGCCAGGCCCTCACCACTGAGGAGGTGGTAACAGGGCTCCTGGCAGACACACTGGAGGCACGGCTGGGACAGGGCCTGAGCTCAGACACCCATGGCTGGTGCTCCCCACTGCACCAGGGCAGAAGGAAGTACCACCTTCCCGGCCAGACTGGCTGGCAGCTGAGCGAAAGGGCGCACAGCTCGGAAGCGCTTGGTGTCTGGGCCTGACTGCTGGGCCCCCCAGCTCATAGTGTCCCCACGCAGCAGCAGCTCATATGGGGAGGGCTCTACCAAGGGACAGGAATGGGAAGGGCAAGAAAAGGCCAGCCCAGGCCCTCCCTGGAATTCCTACCAGGGACTGATGGGAGGCCTGGTCCACGGCGGCCACAGAGTCACCTGTGGCTGGCTCCAAGTCGTCAAACGCCAGCTCGATGTTCTCCTAGGAGGGAAGGTGGGGAGGTAGTGAGCACAGGGCCGTGTGTGGGGTGCAGCCCTAGGAGCAGGCCAGGTGGGGACGCTGGGGTCAGCAAGTCCAATGTCCCATCCGAGCAGGAGCTCCCCTCCAACAGCCCGACTGACAGATGCTCACCACCTCTCAAGGCACCGCATTGTGTCTTCGGACAGCTAACCTTCTCCTAACCTCCTTTTACAGCGAGCTAAAGTCACGTACACACTCCTGTTACTCCCACCTGCTGATCAGGCTGCGTGGAGTTAGCCCACTCTCGATTTCACACACTCATCCTTGAAATACTTGAAGACAACTGTCATTTTCCTCCTGAATCTTCTCTCACCCAAGATAAATATTCTCCCCAGCTCGTTCAGCTCACCTCCACTTGAGGTAGGATTTCCAGATCCATCCGGGACACCCTTTTATGGGGGCAGGGGGGCTAAGTAATCAGTCACTATACCAACAGCTCAGGAGACAGGGAAGGCCAGGCCCGACACACGTGGAGGCAGGAACTGCACGGTGGCGGTTCACAGGGCCTAGGCAGGTGCCTTGAAGGTGGGCAGAGAGGGGCTCCCAGGGACCCTGAATGCATCTTGGGCTTCTTGGAGAGCAAACTCTCCATAAAGAAAGAACGTAGCCTAGGCAGGAAAAGTGGCCTGCTCCAGAGACCACAGGGGGACATAAACGTCAGAGAGTGAAGGGCTGGGAAGGGAGCAGCCAGAAGGGAAGGGGTACCTTGCTGCATCCACAGATGCCTCCCCCCCGCACTGAGGGTGCCAAGGCCAGAAGGTGAGCCTGGGGGCGTTAGGCGGCAGGGGCAAGGTCAAGTGCTACCTCCTTGTATCTTTCCAACTCCTGCACAAAGGTGCGCTCGTGGAAGAGCCTCTGCAGCCGGTCCTGGGTGTAGTTGTGGCACAGCTCCTCAAAGGAGGCCCCGCGGGCCGACCCACCCTGCTCAGGGTTCTGGAAGCCGGGAGTGTCCACAATCATCATAGAGCAGAGTGAGTGCTGGCTGGACTTGAGAGCCCTTCACAGGGAGAGCCTGGGTCAGAGCTGCCCAGGGCAGTGCCCCCGGTGCCCAGGTAGCTCACTCCACCCCCATCCCCATCCCTACCCAGGTGCCCAGGACCCGTGGGGAGGACGTGCCTCTCCTGCCTGCAGGGACAGTGAGCCCTCTGCTGGTGGAGGATGGCTCTGCCTCGGCAATCACACAAGCCCAAAGGCATCAACCCCACCTTCGTCAAGGCAGCAAGATGAGAGCTCCTAGGCCCTGCCTGGCACTCACCTGTTCACCAGGGAGATGAGAAGCGTGAAGAGCTCGCTGTAGAGGCCGGACGCCATGCCCTCCAAGCACTCCAGTGCACTCAGTTTGGGGCCTGTGGGCAGGAGGGTCAGTTCTATCTCCAGGTCCCTGGGACTCCCCACCTGGGTGTGCTCCCTACCCACCCAGGCCAAGGCAGCATGGGGCCCTGGGGCTGGGCCTCTCCCTCTAATGGGAGCATCTATTCACCTCAGGAGTTTGCCCACCCCAGAGATGGCAACGAGCCCAGGAAGAGGCCTCCAATCACATCCAGCAGCCAAGGGGCTCGGGTACCTGTGCCGTCCCCCAGGCTGCTCTCCTCGGGACCCTGGCGGAAGGAGGTGGAGCGCTGCAGGGTGCCGCCCTGGTGCTGGTGCTTGAAGATGGCTGAGGAGAGCTCTTCCAGGCTGCAGCCCAGCAGGTACGCGGCCTTCTGGGCCCACTCGTGGCGGGCAAACTGCCTGCGCCCAGCTATGGGGTAGAAAAAAGGACCTGACGTCGTGGGTCTTCCTCCTTAGACTGTTTGCTGACCACTGTGCCCTTCAGCTCCCTTGCGCCCATAGCACTAGGGAGCAGGCATCTTCCAGAGGGAAAAAAACGAGCCCTGATGACACCAGCAGGGCTTCAGGCAAAACAGGGAGAGCCAGCAGCTGCCAGCGCTTCCTGTGTCCCTTGGGGTTGGAGAGAACGAGCAGGTCCTATAAGAGGAGGTAACTCCACACTGCGGCCACCAGAGGGCTCCCAATCAGCTGCAAAAACCCCTTTAGAGGGCTTGGCTCCAGGCGCCAACGTGGGGAAGGACAGAGCATGAGCCAGCCCACCTAGGATGAACACAGAACTGCCTGTGCCTGGTGGGGGAGTATCAGGAGAGCACTGGCGTCTCCCCCTTCCTTGAACGCATTAGGACCCTCCCGAATGCGTCCGCCAGGCGAGACCGCAAACATCCACGGTGGCCCAACAGTGGAGAGGCGAGAAAAAACTGCGGGGGAGAGGGAACAGCCCACGCGGGCAGACGCGCCTCAGCCGACACGTGTCTAATCGCGGCAATTAGGGAAAGCTAACAAGAAACAAGGTTTTACCTTCGGCAGCTTCTGTAAGGCAAAGGACCAGCATGCAGCATGCAAAGAAAAACAGCATGTTAGCAAACAGTCATCAGCTGAGCCTGCCAGGCCCAGTGGAAGGGCCCGTGGGGGTGTGGCTTTGGAAAGATGAGCAGGAGAGAAAACACAACCCCATTCAGACTCAGAAACACAAAAACACACACGCGTGCGCGCGCACACTCACAGCCTCAAAGGAGTATGTTTATGGATGTGATCACACTGACACACAAGGGAAGAGACCTGCAAAGACTTTCTATCACACACACATGTGCACACACACAACCCCCCCCCCGCCGAAAATACTGGAAGCTCTGAGGAGGTAACAGACACTGCTCAACAAGGTCCACGTACTGACGCACCCAGAGCTCTCCACCTGCAGGCAGCGCTGAGTAGGGTTACAGGAAACCTGCACTGTTACCTCCTTGGAGTGAAAGAACTTCCTCAAGACACAGCCACACAGCCACCCACCTGCCCACCTACAAGTGTGGAGACAACTTCTTTAACTCAGAGTCTGCTTCCTCTTTGGCAGGGATGTAACCTGCTGGGATCATAAGGAACCTAACACCCAGACGCATGTTCCTCCATGCACCCGCCCACCCTCCCACCCACCAGCGCTTCCTCACTCCTGCTGACAGCCTGGGGCCCTTCACATCCCAGAGGAAGATGAAGCCAATGCCCAAGGTGCTGTTCAGAAGCAGCATCCCTTTCCCTAAACCGGAGGAGAAAGGGGTGAAGAGGAGCTCAGAGCACCTGACCGTCAATGGAATCTCAGAGGAAGGCAAAGGAGCTCTTCCAAGCCAGACCAAGCTCCAGCCCTTCACAAGACCCCAAGCACTGATGCTGAAGCTGCAGCCCATTCAATACCACGGTGCCTGCTGCCCCCTAGTGGCCTCTACCCTGACATGCAAGAGGAAGAGGCACCTACTACCAAACCAGTGGAGAGAAGGGAAGACTGAGGGAAAACTGGCCTTGGGAAGCCCCAGGAAGCAACACACCCTTCCCCACATAAGCCCCATGGAGGGCATCCTGAGAGATTCCAGGATCTGAATGCAAAACAGGTAGAAGCAGCTATTCCTGGGACTCTGAGAAGCCCCACTGCCAGTAAGCACCCTCTCCACCCTCAACCCTGGGGCTTCTCCCAGGCCAGTGTCCTCTGCTATGATAGAACAAGCCCAGCCCCCAGAGAGAGCCCAGGGCAAGCACCAAGAGGGGGCAAGGTGGCCCCTACACCCCAGGACGGGGTCAAGGTCAGTTACCCGCTTGCTCCTCGGGGACCTCTGTCAGAAAGGGAACAAGAAGGAGAGTTATTCCAGGGGGACTGCTCTGAATTCGTGCCCTTCTCTTTCCTCTCAGCCTCCAACCCCCAAGCCCCCTGCTCTTCACAGCGCGCCCGGTCACTGGCACCTCAGTCCAGGCCTCTGACCATCCTTAGCAGAGATGCTTCTCTGGGGGTTTGGAGACTTCTGCTCTGATGAAGGGGACGGGGAAGAGGCACAAGAAAGAGGGGTGTCTGATGACAGGTGAGTCTGCGCTGGGCCAGGACAAACTGGGAGTGGACTGGGCCCCCACCAGCTCTCCCAGGTGACCCGCTAGGCCCGTTACCTTTGGTGGCGCCTGCAGCTCCCAGGTGGTAGATGGCAGCCAGGATGAGCCAGCAGGCTTTCTGCTCGTCGGGGGAGATGCCCAGCACCTTCATGGCCGCCTGGAGCTTGCTGAACTGCTGAGCCGCCTTCTGCTTCTCCTCAGGCTGCAGCGACAGATGGGCACACTGGCAGCAGATCTCAGAGGGGCTGTCCCTCTGGTATCTCTCATGCTGCTGGAGCATCAGGGCGGCCAAGCTAGAGGACAGCCGCCCGGCCTGGGCTGGGCTCCTGCTACTCCCATGAGGCAGTCCAGGACATTCCAAGCTTCTCCGACCCCAAGGCCCAGGGCTGCCCACCCGTCCCCAGAGGCCCCTCACCTTGGCCAGTGGTACAATCCCAAACACATTGTTCTCTGCCAAGTGGTTCAAGTGGAGCTCTGTCCTAGGGGTACAAACGAGGCATCAGCACAGCGCTTGGTCCCCACGCCAAGTCCATCTCCCTGCCGGGCTGGAGACAGAGACTCCGCTTCCAGACTCAGTTCTGTCTGCCCATCATGCCCTCCTGTCAGGCCAGCTGCTATGGCCTTTCCTAATTGGCCTGGACACCAGGCCAGAGCACTGGCCTCCCTAGGACAGGTCACAGACAGGCCCTGGTGAGAGTGTCCAGACAGACCCCTGGAAGAGAGCAGGCAATCTGCCTGAAGGGTGAGTCCAGCCAGGACTGAGACCGTGCCCTCAGTGACAAGGAGAGCTCAAGACAACAGTGCCCTGGGCTGCTTGCTCAGCCTTATCATTTATCCTCTTCTCAGTGGACACAGACAGCAAGCCCGAAGGTCTAAGGGAGGAGCCTGGCGGAGGAGCCAACGTGGATGCAGGGAGGCCAGCATAGAGGGCACTGGAAAAGGCTCGGGCTTTTGGCCCCTGTGTGGACTCAAACACCTGCTCAGCCCCATACTAGCTGTGTAACTGCGGGCAAGCCTCTGACCACCTGCATCTCGGTGTGCTTTCCTCTCCAGATCTGGCTTCCCAGGAGCACAGATCCTAGCTAGGCCCTGGGAACGCTGAAGGGTCAATGGTGCCCCTCACATATAGCCAGGTCCCCCATGCCCGGGGCCAGGGAGCTCCCGCCGGGCAGGGCCTATGGCTCATTCATCTCGCCATCCCCAGGGCCTAGCTCAGAGCCTAACACATGGCAGGCGTGAAATAAACAACCGGCATGGGATGCAATCAACTGGCAAAGCCCAGGAGCTGTCAGTGGTGGGAGCCCAGAGCACCCTCCTTGTTCCCTCTGTCCCGTCTCACCTGAGGGTACCATCCCCGCAGGCCAGCAGGTAGTAGAAGATATTGAACGTGGCCTCACCGGCTGGGCGTCGTGCCACACGCAGCTTCTCCAGAAGCATCGTCTGTGGCACAGCATAGAGGGTATGTGGGCAAGGAGGCAGTGCCAGGTCAAGCTTCTCCCACCCACACCAGAAAGAACCAGGCCCATGGGAGCGAGCGGCTGCATCTGATTCTCCAGGTGCTCAACCAGCGGCCAGATCACCTCATGGTCAAACCTGGGGCAGACACCAGAGCCAGGGAAGAACACAGGCCCTGCCACCCCGCCCAGCCTCCAGGCACAGTCTTCCTGGGGAGCTGGACACTTTGTGGTGAGAGACTTCATTAGCATGGAAGGGAATCAGCCTCAGCTGGGCCTTACTTTACTGACAGGCCAGTCCTGCCTGGGTGAATCAGCCTGAGAGAAACCCCCGAGCAGGGGCCAGGGCCCCAACTAGGGTGTGGGCAACCCCAGGATGGGCAGGAAGCTGAGCCGTGCCCCATCCAGGGCAGGAGGCACAGGGGGCAGAATGTGGAGGCTCAGGGCAAAGTAGGCCAGCTCTGCCGGGCCCAGGGTCCATTTCGTTAGGGAAGAATCCCAGGAAAATGAGGTGCAGGGGAGAGTCTGATTTCTAGGGCGTGAAATCAGGCAGCCAATCTCTTACCACCCTGAGTGTCCCCTCACCTGAATGGAGGCTGAGGCCACCTGGCCGGCTTGGTCAAAGTCCAGGGAGAGGATCTGGGAGAAGCGGGTGGCGTTGCCGTTCATGATGGTGGGGCTGTTCCCAAAGGCTTCCAGGAGGGTGTACAGAGCCTGCCACTTGTCCACTGCAGAAGACAGGCCCAGGGCCCATCAGGAAAGCCACGGGCAGCTTGCCCCCAGCCACAGGCTCCAGAGGCCCAGGGCGAATGGGAGGCCCATCCCATGGCTGTTCCTCCAGCCCAAAGGCCCAGTTACTTAGACAAGACTGCTGAGGATCGAGGGGCTTTGTGGACACGGAGAGGCCAGGGAGAAGAAGAACTGGCACCTCAGCGGGGCCTCCATCCCCACACCCCTCTCCAGCCCATTCTGTTTCCCCAGCTGCCCCTGCCTCACCAGAAAACACCTTATTCCCGCTGGTGCCTGCGATGGTGGCCAAATATTGCACCAGATGCTGGCAGCTGGTGGTCTTGCCACTGCCACTACTGCCCAGGAGGATGATGGACTGGTCCTGACGGCTCATCAGCATTGCCCTGTATGCGGTCTGAGCCACGGCATAGATGTGGGGGGCCATGTCCTCCCGCCGACACCCCTTGAACATGTGCATCACCTTGGGCGCGAGAGGGACGGAAGGAAGGGATAGGCGCTCTTAGCTGGCTCCACACGGACAGCCCTCACCCCCAAGGCCCACATCTTTCTGGGCTTTTCACTCCAGGGGAGCCAGAAGGTTCTGAGGCTAAGGTCACGCATGGAAATGCAGATACCAGCCCAGTCCTGGCCTCTGTGAGGTCGGGGGAGGGCCTTCTGTCTCCACCCCTTGAAATGACTCCTCTTCCCAAGGCCACCGTGAGAGTGGACAGGAGCCCCGTGGGATGCCAAGGGGAAGGGGTGGAGTCGGGGAAAGTGGGCAGGGGGGAGGGGATAGAGGGGGCGGTCTGTGGGGCCACGTGGTAGCTGAGGGGGGCTGCACCTTCTCCGAGTACACAGCGGGGGCCCCCCGGGGGCTGAGGACCAGCAGGCTGGGGCCGGCGTACGTGTGCAGCAGGCTGGCGCCATAGCGCTGGCGCAGCGTGTGCAGGACGCTGGACTCATTGAGGTACACCAGCGAGGCCAGATCCTCCAGACGGTCGCAGGAGGGAGCATTAGCCTGTGTGACAGGACGGGCGGGCGGGCACTGAGGAACAGATCCAGTCTGCTCTGCCAGCGGACAGCCTGCCCAGCCCGGCCCCCATCCTGTGCCCTCCACCAGCCTCCTGCAAACCTTCTCCACGTCATCCTCGTCCACATCCAGGACGGCTCCATCATGGTCTAGCTTCACGCGCACCTTCCCCTCGGGCAAGCTGAGCTCCTCGGATTTGAGCTGAGTGGCTGCAGAGCAGGGACAGACAGACAGACAGACATGGGCCCGGGAAGCCGTGGCAGCCTTCTTTGGGCCCTTCATGGTCCTGCCTTCTCCCCACTGTATCACCAGCCTCTCCTTGCTCACCACTCAGGCCTCTCCAGACCCAGAGGCCCACCCACCACCCAGCCCTGAAACCAGAGAGGCCCAGGCCCTGGGTCTCCCCAGACTCACCCAGTGAGAAGCCATCCTTATGGACCAGCCACACCTTCTCTGTCTCATACCAGGCCTCCTCAGCTGCGATCTGCTCTTCTGTCTTCACCTATCAGAGGGAGGGGAAGAATAAAGAGTCAGACCCTGTTCTGGAAAGCAGACAAGGACAGCAGGAGAGAGGAGACATGTGAGGGGAAGGGCTTCCGGATGAGCCACTGGGCGAGGGGGACAGGTGGGTGGCAGACACAGAACGGGAAACATCAGAGATATCAAAGGAAGAAGCTGGGGAAGCCAGGAGCTGGTGGCGGGTGGTCCTGAGGAGACCTGAGGACAAGCACACAGAGCTGGGGACCCTGACAGCCCTGAGGGTCTGGAAAGACAGGGACACATGGAGTATGTGCCTAGGAGAGAGCAGATCCCAGGAGAGCAAATCAGCAGCCACCCTCTTGCTCCCTCCCTGCAAAGACTGTATGATCATATCCCGAGCCTCCAGCCCTCACCCTGGGCCACAGCTGCTGTGGCCTTACAGGCCTGGCTTCTCCATTCATCCACCTAATAGGCCCTCTTTCACCAAGCTGGGAAAGGGCATTTCCTCAAGATCTGAGAATGTCTTCCAAGGGCTTCAGTACAACGTGATGGGTGAGTCCTAGCCTTGACACTGGTCTTCCCTCCAGAGGAGGCTCTCCTGGGCAGGGGCAGTGCCCAGATGCACATGCTAGCCTCCCTGCTCCCCCTCCGTGCCTCCTCAGAAGGAGCACAGACCCACGGGGACGTGCTAAGGCCATACGGGGGCACGAAGCAGCATGGCCAGGGACATGAGGCAGGGGCAGGGGCAGCAGTGCTCTATCAAATACAGGAAGAGACTTGCATGCCACATGGATGGGCATGGGAATGGGTATAAAGGGGCTGGGAGCCCCCAGAAGCCCAGGTGGTCACCGATCAGGAAGAAGCATTCACGGGCAATGTCAGGGTGTAGGGTTGCCAAACCTGGCACCCCTAAGAGACCTGAGCTTGTCGGCAATGGTGCCTGGGGGAGCTGGGCAAACAGGAGCGGGGCCTGGCCCCCATGGCCGATCAGGCTCCTTTTGTCATGTGGGCAACGGGGCAGCAGGGTCATCCAGTGTCCTTTGGTGGGTGGACGGTCACCCCCCACATGAGCAGCCCCCAAGCTAGCCCTATCCCCCAACTCTCTGGGGATCCCCAGCTGCGAGGTACAGTTAGTCTCCTAGGGTCCCCCACCCTCATGAAACCGACCTGGGGCCAAGGCGTAGACACTGCTCTGTGATACTGACCCCCTGGGTGAGGGATTGGAAAGGACAAGAAACAATAATCACAAATACGTTATTTGTTACATTTCTTGGAGCTGAAAGAAAAAAGATCTGGGTTCTACTCCCAGGTTGGATTCTGGCTTCAGATAACTCCCTCTCCCTCGCTGACAGCCCTTCTGGGCTATAGAGTCAGAAGGCTGACTTACAGAGCAGTCTCCAGACTTTGCATATCATGGGCCAGGGAAATTACCCCTCAAACAGGAGGATCACTATGGGGCTGTCAACGTTTTCAGTGAAGACATCCAAAAAAGGCCAGTTCTTTATATTTGAAAAAATTAACTTTATAAAACAAAATTCCTTCTTTTTTTTCAAATCATGAGACAGGGGAAGCCTTTGTCTTGAATGGGCATGTTGTATGGGTCCAGGGTTTGGAGACTGATGAATAAGGTGACATCAAAGGACCATGGCCTCCAGCTAGTTCCTTTAGAGCTAATCTGAAGACAGGTTCCCATATTGGCCAGCAGGGGGAGACAGAGGATGCGCAGCTTCAGGCTTCAGAGTGGGGAGCGGGTGGGGGTGGGGGTGGTAGGGGTTCAGCCTTTCCAGCTCTCTCTACCCAGAGGGAGCAGAATTGAAACACCTAGAAACCAAAGCTCTGGCCAGGCCCTTGGGCTTCTGTGGCTAAGAACCATGCGCCACAGAGGCCAAACTGAGTGGCGACCCTCAGTCTAGACACTCCTCCAGGGCCTGACACAGAGCTGCCCCATGTCCAGCTCCCGGCACTGCCTCCCCTAGGGGTCCCCCCAGATACCACGTGAGGTGGGAGCCAGAAGGGGAAAGAGGCCTTACACTCCAGCACAAGGCCCGGGCACAGACGCCAGCCCAGGTACCGGCTGGGGGTGGCAGGTGGTCACCAGAGGAAGCGGAGGGCTCCTGAGGGGGGCAGGAGTACCCTACCTGGCGGTGGGCAGGAGAGGCGGCCTCAGGGTCCAGCTACGAGCAGCAAGCAAAGAAGAGAGAGAGAAGAAGAGGGGTGAAGACAAGCAGGCCGTTGGCATGTCCCCTTCAGCAAGCACCCGGGGCCAAGTGGAGGGGAGAGGGGCGTAGCACCAGGAGGTGGACGGTAGGAGGGCTGGCCCGGCAGGTGTATTGTACCTAGTCAAGGAGAGGCCAGGCCGGGAAGGAGAGGCCCTGCTTGGTGAAGAAACACTTGGTACCGTCAGACTCCTCAGAGGAGATGCTCTGATAAGTCATTCCCTGCGGCAGGAGCGAGCCGCTCTGCCCCAGGCTACAGTCCCTCCTGGGCTGGCCATCCAGTCCATTCTGAATTACCCTCCTCTTCTGTGTTGCCAGACCAGACCACCTCACCACACCCAGGGCCTGGGACCCCTGGGAGCCTCTGGCCTTATCTCCAGGGCATTTCCCAGCTCCCCTGTAGCCACCGGACCCCAGTACAGGCTGCCCCTGGCCTCCAGACACACACCCAAGGGTGCCACTCCCCAGGCCAAGGGCGGCCCTTCAGAGCTGTCACCCCTGCCTAGCTCATCAAACAGGACCACCAGCAGCCCCAAGTCTAGGACCCCTTCCTCAGACTCCCACTGCACCCCTGCACCACTCCCACCCCATGGCAAGCAGAGGTAGCACCACCCATCCAGGTCCACCTGCCAACTGCCCAAGAACCAGGGAACTGTGGACAGACCCGGTGGCCAGCCTCGACCTCCCCATCTTTGTCTGGTTACTTAAAGGCCTTTCTGGAGAGGAAGAGGAGTCAGCCAGGCCTTGGACCTTGCCTGTTAGAAATGGGCAAGGAGTTAACAGGCCCCACCTGGGACTGGAGAGCCAGGGCATCAAGAAAGGGGAGTGTCTTCTCCCTGCCTCGCACCCACCAGGCCCTGACACCAAGATACGCCCTCCGGGGCAAGAGACCGGGGCCAGAGAAGGGGCTGGATCTCTAGCCAGAGGGGTCCCTCCCACAGGTTCCCTGGAGGAACAGGCCTCACTGTGCGCAGACCCTCCAGTGCCCTTCTCTCATTTCTCCAAATGGGAAGCCCATGTGAGGGCCCCCAGGCCTCCAGGGAGCCACACTTCCACTGTCAGGTGGGCCTACACACACAGCCACACACAGTCTGGCCAGCAGCCCCAGCAAAGGGGAGACCAGGGACTGGGAACCACACGTGAGAGGCGGCATTACAGGAGCTGCGAAGATCCTCTCAAGCCGCTGGTGGGCCTCCTCTGCGGGGGTCAGCTGGACGTCGGGGGCAGCTCCTGCCTAAAGGTCAAACCACTATTAGTCCCGGCCTGGGGAACTGGGGGCACAGCACACCAAGCTTCTAGCTCAGGAAGCCACTGGGACCCCCGTGGGTTAGCGGAATAGGGTCAGGGAGGCAAGCCGGGCACCAATTTGAGTTTTTAAGCTCTCAGATGAGAATAAAAACAGGTGCCTGGGAGTTCTAGGGTTAATTCTTCCCACCACTTTAACCATTCCAGCACCAGGACGGCCTGTTCTCACACGCATCCTCTGGCCCCTGCCCTGGGCACAGGCGACAGGTGGCTGAACTCCAGGTTGGGGCCCATCTCAGCCCCAACTCCACCTGAGTGAGAGGCGGAGGGACAGGGAGCCAGAGGGAAGGCAGCCGGCCCAGGAACGGGCGCACGATGCTCTCTGGCTCCTTGGAGGTTCTTCTTAGGGGCTAGTGGTTCGCCTCACACCAAGACGCCCCTGCCAACTCCTGTGTGCCAGGAGGTCACCTCCCTGATGCAGAGTGGGCCAGGAGGGGTGAGGGAAGCTGCCGCCTGCTCTCTTCTAAGTTCTGCAAAGCCCGGGAAGAATGGAATGGGGAGCAGGGCGAGTCTGAGACCTTAGGAATCCTAGCAGGCAGCAGGCAGAGAGGAGGGCCTCTAGGGCCTGGGAGACAGGACAGGTCTTTAGGTGGTCCCCTGCCCCACTTCCCCCGACTGTACCCTTTCAGCAAGAAGGAGCACGCAGGAGTACAGAGAAGCAGTAGTGAGACTTGACGCGTCGCTCCACCCACCCACCCACCCAACTCCTGAGGCCCCAGAAGGGTCCACAAAATGGGAAAGCTTGAAGAGAAATGCCCCCCAACCCAAGGACCAGCCAAGCAGGCATGCCTTCCAAGGGAAAGGGCTGGACAGATCGTCCTTGGCCCTCCCCTGTGCCTCTCAGCCTCCTGTCCCACCCAGAGGGCACTTTGTGGACAGACAGGACCGCCGATACAAAGGGGACCCACTGTGCTCCTCCGCCACCCAGGCCCAGAGCTCCTCAAGAGTCCTGCTGCCAGAGGGACAGCTGGCCAGGCCTGAAGAAGTAGTGATGGCGATGATGGTACCAATAAGCACTGTTACCAGCGTCACTACGGATGCTACCGTTCACGGAGCACCCACCACACCAGGGATTAGGCTCAGAGCATTCATTCCCTGTATCCTCTCTAATGTTCACAGCAACACTTCAAAGTAGGTATTATCCCTTATTTGCAATTCTAAAATCCAAAAAGCCCTCCAAAACAAAAGACTTTTCGTAACGGTTTTGGTGGCAAAACCTGACTGTTTAATCCCCCCCACCCCCCGCCTGCAGCATGAACATTCATAATTTTCCTGTGGGAATATTAATGTGTTTGGTCACGAGTTGCTGCTCATTATGTACATTGCATGACAGTCTCAAATATAAAAAATCGCTAATTTCCAAAATACTTCTGGCCCAGGGGCTTCAGAGGAGGGATGGTAGACCTGTGTGATCCCCACTCGACAGATGAAGGCTCAGAGATGCTGAGGTCCCACAGGAGTGAGTGGCTGGGGATGGGATGTGAGCACAGGCCACCTGACCCCAGAGATTCTGTCTTTCTACCCTTTCACTGATCTGCTAAGACTTTGGGATCTGTTTGGGATCTGGGGCCTCAAGCTGATGCCATGTAGCTGGGGGCCAGGCCCCAACTCCCCAGCAAGTGTGGAAGAGCAGCAGCATGCAGTTAACGGGTCCCCTGGGTTCTGGCATTCGGTGAAGGAAAGCCATGCAGCCCTGCCATCGGCACGTGGCCCGGGCCCAGCTTCGCCGTCATGCGGGGCCCATGGAAGAGCCTTGGGAAAGCTGGCTGCCAGTCCTCAGGTGAGGGTGGTAAGGGAGGGTCAGAGGTTAGTGACACACTCAGGTACCTCCTGCGGCACGTCAGGGGCTGGTGACTTGTTCTGTTGCAATCCAGTGAGGTTCGACTTGAGGTTCGGGTCGGCAGAGCCTGGGGCCGCCAGCTCTTCCGACTGGGCTGGGGAGCCTAGCTTCTCTGAGGTGTCCACTGTCTCTGGGGAGACTGGTTTCCCCGAGGAGCCTGGCTCCTGGCTGGAGGGCTTCTCCCCCTTCCCGGGAGCCTGCCTGCTACGTGGCCTGTGGTCCTTGCCCCTGCCCCGAGACATCAGGCTCCGCAGGCCCACGGAGAGCTCATCCTTGGCGGCCTCCTTCTCTGCTTCGGACTTCGGCCGAGCAGGGGGAGTGGGAGTGGCTGTCTTTTCTCCCTTCCTGCCTCGAGCTGGGTGCTCAGGAGATCTGACCCCTCTGCCCGCAGGTTCCTTGGCGCTCCCAGGCTCCTCGCCAGGCAGCACCTTGCTCACCACCTTCCTCACTGCATTCGCCACCCTCTTCCGGGACAGGCCCTGGGCCTCCTCGCTGGGGCCTTCCACTGAGGCAGTCCTCGGGCCGTTCATGGCGAGTGTGGATGCAGGGTTCTTGGCTCTCTGGGGAGCCTCTGAGGGTACAGGGCTGGTGGAAGGCTGAGGACTCTTAGATGGGCCACTGCTGCCCTTTGAGCTGCCCTCTAGCTACAGTCACACAAATACAGGGAGACATTAGCATCAGCCCGTGTCCCTGCCCGCCCCACACAGAGGAAGTAAGAGGTGTGACCTCACATCTAGTCGTGGAACAGACCTTCCATTCATCCAACAAACACCACAAGCTCCAAGAGGCCGCCCCAGGAAGCCCTCTTTCCATCTTCCAGATAGAACAACTGCATCGAAGAGTTTGGCTTCTCTCTCCCATAAAGCACAGCAGGTCACCTGCTGTCCATCTCCAGGCTTAGCAAGGAGCGGTGAGAGGCCAGCACAGGGTGCCCAGAGGCCCATGAGGTACCCCAGAGTTACTGGCTTATGTCAGGATAGCAACTAAGCCCGGATCCCAGGAAGCCTGCTCCCTCACAGCCCAAACACAGCAGAGACGGAGCATGGTGAGGTCAAACACCAATTCCTACCATCGATCCTGGGCCTAACTCTGGGGCTTCCTGCCTTGGTGGTCCCTGGTCCTTCTATCACCCAACTTCCTCTGTAGTCAGACCCAGAGCCTGCCCATCCCAATGAAAACCGTAGTTAGGAAGTAATTCTTGGCCCGCAGACATGCCAAGCCTCCTCCCTCCCCACTCCTCTGGGTTGAGCCCACTGTCTACCCCTCACCCACACCCTCCAGAGCTGCAGAAACCCAGTGCTGGCCCAGGAAGCTTCCACCTCAGCCTGCTTTCTGCCAGTCTCCCTGCAGTTTTCCTTGTGCAAACCTCTCAAGGGCTGGAGGCCTTCTAGCTCCCAGAGTGCACGTGGAGGAAGAGGTGGCAGCTGCAGCACTCAAGCGACCACAGCTCTACCCTGTCTAGGCTCAGCCAGCCTCTGGGCACCCAGGAGTCCACTGGAGATGCTAGCACACTCTGCCTGGTGGGGACCGTCTGCGGTCGCGAGGGACCGCCACTGGGCAGGCCCGGCTGGCTAATGGCAGGGCAGTTTCCTGCAAAGCCAAGCCACATGGCCTGGGAGAGCCAGGTCAACCTAGGGGCTCCTTGCTGGTCAGGCAGTGCCCTGCCACTAATGAGCTGTGCTTGAGTCCTCGTTCCCCAAACAGTGACCTTGGTTCTAGGGTGTACCTGGCGGCCACCTCTGTTGAAATGCAGAAGGGCGCTCACAGAGTGGACAGACCTCTGGCTGCCGTGTGGACAGAGACCCACGTCCTGAGCAGAGCTGAGCCAAACGACCTCAGCCCAGGCCTCAGGTACAGGGTGGCCCTGCTGCAGGGGTGGGAAAGGGAGGCCTTGAAGGGGCCCCTTCCTCAACCTCTTGGGCCAAGAGTGTTCAGTGGCATGTCAGGGCCCTGCAGAGCTGCCGTGGCCCCAGCTGCTGGGCCTCACTCCCTGCCTCCCACTTCTGGCTTTCCTCCCATGCCTTCTAACTGAAGCTCATGTTGACAATGACAATGATGATGATGATAGTAACTGCTAACGCTTAAACGGAGCTTATTATGTGCCAGGCAGTCTTCTAAGCACCTTACACATAATTTCCCCCCCAAGTCTGGCATTCTCCAAGGCCCCTCCCTCACAAATCTCAAACATATCCCCTTGAAATCACCCTGACCTTGCAGCACTGCTTACAGATGAGGTGGAAGCCATAACACCTGGCTAATCAAATCTCCACTCAAGGAAGGGGTGTGTGTGGGGGGCGGGGGCAGGCACCATGTGGGGTAACGAAGTACAGATCTGTTTTGTGATCCAGCTCTGTTCCCGAGCCCTGGGCACCCCTGCCCGCTAGATCAACAGCAGCCCTCGCCTGACTACACATCTCTGGACCTGGCTATTCTAGAACCATGTCCCCTCTCTTGCCTTAAAAGTGTCCAACTTTATTCAGGGTCTCTGTCCCAAGGCAGAATGACTTGGTGGGGGGGGGTAGTGGCACTGCATGGCTGGAGCCTGCCTCTAGGTCACCCGCGCTGAGCAGCTGACAGGGTCTTGGGAAGAGACAGCAGCAGCTGCAGTGAAACCCCTCCCTGCCCTTGGCTTGTGCCACCCAGAGCAGGACGGAGAGTCCCAACAGCTGAGCTCTCATTTGTCTGCCTAGGCCTCTCCAGCCCCAAAGAGTTCAGGAAACCAGAACTATAGGTAGGAACTAAAGAGGGGGCTTAGGGAGAGGCCCCCAACATGCCTTGGCATTGCCATCTCCTTCACACACATCAGGTTGGCATCACACATGCTGCACTTTGTCCCTTTACTGCAATTCCCTCTAGCCACCCCACACGGGAAGGGGCGCCCTGCCGTGCCTGCCTGCTCCGTGGAACTGCCTCCCAGACTAGGCCTGGGCTTGTGGACACAACCCACCTGGACACACAACTCTCTCTCTCTCTCTCTCACACACACACAGGTCTAGGAGAAGCACTTACAGCCCCTTCCTCCTTGGCAGGAGGACCAGGCTTCGGCAGAGTTTTGTCCTCCTCTTTAACCTGAGGGAGCAGACAAAGAA